GTGTTTTTATCATTCTTTTACAGACTAAACTCACCAGGAATGTCAATCTTACTCCTTTTTTTTAGGAAAACACAGCCTTATAGTAATTCAAATCCTGACATTGCAGGAATGTCTAAACATTTACATTTGTGATGTAGAGCTGCAAAGTGTTTTACTCCCCAATATGCTCTTTGCCAATAATTTACTTACAGCTGATCATCCCTTTACTGTACATATTGGCAGGATAAACATGGACCCTTACCTGGCCTAATGAATCAGTATTTGTGTATCATTATACTTAGATCTAGTGGGAAAAGAAGCTTTGGGATTACTAAAGAAATGTTCCTCTGATCAAATTAAAAAGTTCTTAAGGTATATAAAGTTAATAGGACCTGTTGGATGGCCCCCATTATTAAAAGAATATGTGATAATATGTAAGGAGCTTCATCCAATATCTACATATTATCACCAAGAAGTACTAATTAAAATGTGGCACTATGATTAGAAAGAGATTGATTGGAAATTAAGATTTCATTTCTTTGTTCTATGCAGTGAAAATTTGAAGGAGAAACTAATAAATCCACTATTCTAATATCAGTGGGATCAATATTACAGGCCTGCTTTGTCTGCACAGATTTAAAGTGTAATTTATATAACAGCTGCCAAAGAGACCAGACCACCTCTCCGAAGAACACAATGATAACCTTGCAGGGGAGGTGGGGTATGCTAGTTCTTAAGAGCTGGTGTCCTGCAACTTAAGATGCGTCCCTGCTCCAACACACCTGAATCAATTTGCTGAATTACCACCCGAGCATGTAGCCAAGCTCTTCTCAGTCCTAAAGATTACTTTTTCAATATGTGCTGAAGTGGAGGAACATCTAAAAGATGTTTGGCATCAGCCCTCTGGGAATGAAGTCACACCTGAGCTTGACAGCAGGGGAGGCAGCGTTTCTGTTGTCAAACAAAGCATGTTTCATTTCACCATCAAAACCTGCCTCTTTATTATTTTCTTTAATGTATAAAGTTGCATTTATCTCCAAATAAATACTATTGGCTTGATCTTTTATTTCATCACCGCTAACATTTTTATATTGAAAAGGGCTGAAACAATTAATCGTGAATAATCGATTATTGAAATAATCGTCAACTGATTTAGTAATGGATTAATCGCTCTCTGGAGTGTAGAGACTCTAAAACTTGTCTTCAGCTGACTGAGCGACCCACTTAGAGCGGTAATTATACCAAAATTGTAAAAAGAAATATGTAAACATTTTGCATTTAAGATTAAGAAAACTTTACAGAAAGCCCATATTCTTATCTTCAGCTAACAGACTATACATGTCAGATTAAATCAGCGGTCACCAACCTTTTTACAGTTGAGGGCTAATTCAGGGCCACTGAGTAACAGGAAGGGCTACCAATACTGACCCATGAATTGCAAGGGTCAATGTTCACCTAAACTTCATACATTATATACATATCTTTATCGTATCTTGAAATTTCTAATTTTATTTTAGACATTTTCATTTTGAAATCTCTATAAATGCTTAAATGCCATATATGATTAATGATGAAATGTTCTAGAACTGATTAAAAAAAGAAGAGCAACAGAATACAATGAAATTTCAAACGCAGCTCACTGTTGCGTTGTTCTATTTTCAGAAAACTCTAAGGGCACCCCTTGCGGTCCTTGAGGGCCCCTTGGTGCCCGCGGGCACCATGTTGGTGACCCCTGGATTAAATAATACTACTTATACTTCAGCGATAGTACCAAGGTGTTACTTTACTGTACCTGTTATACTATATCCGTTGGTTGTGTAGTTCTTTTTTGCATCTCTTTGCACGTGATGAAGCAGACTATCGTTATCTCCCCTTTTATCTCCTCTTTCTTTGATCTTTTCTCATTTTTTTCAGTTTTTCCTTTCCTGTTCTACTTACATTGCAGTGTGCAAATAATCTGTAATACTCCCTGCATGAATTATAATAAAGCAATTTATATGCATAAATCAAGCGGAACACTATGGCGCTAGCCGTACTGCTCCACTTGTGAGAGCAAAACTGTTGCGCTCTTTTTTGGTATCAAGACAATTATTCTTTTTGCCACATTTCCAGACAGGACACTGTTAAAAAAAAAAAAAAAAGAGTGAAAAACTTTTTCGTTTGTCAATATGCTCTATCCAGAACTCCTTAACTGGAACAGATTTATTTAACCTGGTTTAATTTAGTAAAAAGTCTTCTTTAAGGAATGAAAAAATAATCAATCGATTAATCAATTTGCAAAATAATTGTTAGTTGCAGCCCTAATATTGAAGCCAAGTTCCTTGTTTTTTCACACAATTATATAATTAAAAAATGTAACTTACAGTACAACACCTTGTCTTTGAAACAGCTAAAAAATGTAATCAAACTTAAAGACTTGAATAAAAAAGGGAATTAGAAATGTTTTCATTAACTTTGTAAAATTATCTTTTCTTTTAGGGACCAGGCCTGTTTTTTTCAAACTGTTTGGTTCCAACAATCCTCCAGCTGAAACTGATTTTGAGAAACAAAGCCTCCCCAGAGAACCGGGCCTGTTCACCTCCCTGTGGTCTTGATGTTATACATACGCATACAAACGAGCTAACTGAGTGATAGCAGTCCTAACCATCCGCCATGCCAGAGAAAAGTGTTTATTGTCATAACTAGATATGCTATCAGCAGTGAAACTCAGTTTGTTTTTTCTTTGCATTCTTTTCCCATTTCTGTACATTAAACCGTATATTTTACTAAGTTGGACTCAATGCCAACTTCTACTAATGGGATCGTCATTATTATTGCTTTCTCAGGTCATTTACAGAGCTGACAGATGGACAGACGGTGGTGTCTGGTGTCTCGCACTTTAGAAATGTAATATATACATTATGCAGCACATGTAGATATCTCTCTTTAGCAGCAAAAAGAGGCTGTACTCTGAGCGCTATAGAACCCACGCCGAAGAGTCACCTGTATGGAGAAGATAAACATTCTTCCCTCCTTTCATTAATCTTAAGTGTCCAAACAATAGTCAGGAGGCTGGCTTTTATCACAGCACTCAAGAAGTTATGACTTATGGAGCTTATGGAGAGAACCACTTTAGGGTGACAAGAGATACAAGCGACTGGAAGCCTTTTGGAGCGCTGCGCCACACATTATCCTCAAACTAACCCTCTAAGCCCGAACACTTCAGACGTGCTAAGAGTTCAGGACGTATAAATCAGGAGGTTACCGGTTTGAATGATCTGTGAAAGATTTTCTTTCACTTCCCTAAGCTTTTAGCTCCACTCCATATATGTGTTTAGTAATGCCCTCCTAGTTCCCAGCGATAAAATACTCCAGCTCTGCTGTCTAGTGATGGACACATCTATAATGCTGGAGCATTTCCAGCGGCCAAAGCCGAAATCACCCACTTGTCAATTCCCACTTTAACCCCACTCTAAATGCACGTCCAACATCTTGACAGTTAATCTCTCAGGGCTTGCTACTCTGTCCTGACATTTGAAAGATTTACAATTTGCATCTTGTCTGTCAGTGAGTGATCTCTTAACAGATTGGGAGGGAGGCATCCTTCACTGACAGCCAGCTACACTACGTATTTGGCTCTCAATTCATTGCTCGCTCTGTTCACCCTGAAGGCAAAACTAATGTCACTGCAGGTTATTTATTTCTTTAGATCACTCCCACTAAGGCTATAAATCGGAATTCCTGATGTGCAAATCATTAAATGTACATAACAATATTCTTACTTCCTCTTACGGTGTTTGTTTCAAAACTAAGTCAAAATGTCAGAGCACATTATGGTAGATCTGTGCAGATGTTGAGGTGTTTAGTGATTTTGGCACAATTAAAGCTGCCTGTAGAGAGGATTTATGGAAAAGGTTGTTTCTGCTGACGGTCATGACCAATGGTCTGGAGCTTGACTGAATTTTGTTTTTGTTTCATCACCTTTACAGCTTCATGGTGATTGATCTGATATTATATTGATATTAAAAGTATCACCTTCTAAAGACACATATCCAGTTAATCTAATGTATCAATAGGTTCTTGATGGGATTGATATCTGGGCTTTTTTTCTGGCCATGCATCCCATATTTCAATGTATTGATTTCTTTAGGCCCTTGATTCTTCATCACTTCATTGCACCTGAGGGATGTTTTGATCTCATTGTGTATTCGAGGCACTCACTTCAACCAGAGGACCTGGTCTAATGATAGTTACCTGTTAACAAAGCAAAATAGAACGAAGGGGGATTTCTTCTAGGAAAATAACTACTTTACTTCTCTGCAGTTCAATTGTGATTTTTTATATGTTGTGTTTGCCAGTGTAGCAATGGGAATTCAGCCCAAAAGACTTGCTTTCACAAGGGGGCCATCATGGCTGTTGCCATAAGGCTTCAACTTGGTAATTGGTCATCTAAGAGACTTTATTAGAAGTGGCTTTGGAAAAAAACAACTACAAAAAAGACATATGCAATTGACACATAGAGATGGAAGGGAGGTGAGAAAGGGAGAGAAATTAGGTAAGAATTAGATAAGAATTAAGGGGAGAGAGAAAGAAAAGAGAACAAAATAAAATACACTACTCCTAGAGGTCTGCTTCCACACCTGTAAGAAAAGATAAGGAAAAAAACACCACACAACCCACCAACAAGAGGGACTATCCAATGGACACATATTAAATATATGTGTAGAAAACATCAAAAGGAAAACCTATGAAGATTAAATCTGAATAACAATATTATTAAGAGTCATATTTTGTTAATGGGACTGTTAGGGACCCACATATGTGGAGACTCTTAGGAGACATGTTGATTAAAAGTTTAAAAGTTTTACTGGTAATTAAACTGATGATGGAGGAGATCCAGTTAGGTCAGAGCAAGGCAGAGCCAGCCAGGAAACCTCAGCAAGGAGAGACAGTGTGAGATATTTGGAATGAAGGGAGTGGAGATAGTAGTGATGGGTCGGGCAACACCGATGCGTCGGCGCATGTTTCTGTCTCATAGAGCGAAACCTGTGTCGACGTGTGTATCGCTACGGAAAAGTCACGTGACCGAAACAGTTCCTGTATCGGTCACGTGACCGATGTTTCGAACTGATTGACAAGCCTTTATAAGGATGCGCATCTGCCAACGAGATGCATCTGCCAAAACAATCTTGCGTGTTTTGCGAATATAAAATTCATCAAAAATTATGGAGCTTCCTCAAGCAAAAAGAAAGGTTTCTGCCGTGTGGGACCACTTTGATGTCATTTCGGAAAATAAGGTATTTGTTTTAATTTCCTTGTTTCATCCTGTTCCTCTCAGAGTTTCCACTTGATTCATGTACTAAAATACTATTTTTTTTTTTTTTTAAGATGACCTTTGGGAACATTTTGATCTCGAAGTGGGGAGGCAGACCAAAAGTGCCACAGCTGATGCCATCCTTGAGGTGCAGAGATACATGGCAGAGGGCAATATTGCGAGGTCCCAGGATCCTCTTGTATATTGGAAAAACTAAAGGACGGTTTATCCAAACCTCTTCCGCCTGGCCTTAAAATTTTTGTGCACTCCAGCTTCATCTGTGCCGTGTGAGAGGGTGTTTTCCACAGCTGGAGAACTAATATCAAAAAAGCGCAACAGACTGAATTTCAAAACTTATTTTTTTAATAAAAATTTGTAAAAAAAAAATACCAGTGAACAAGCATCTTCATTTACTACATGTTTACTTAGAATTAGACTTAGACTTAGACTTGACTTTATTAATCCCTTGGGACTACTCCCTTCGGGAAATTGTATTTCCAGTAGCAGGAAAAATTGCACATACAAGAAAATAGAGGATGTTTAGACACAGTATATACAATAAAATCAATTAAATAAGGTGTAGGAAGATGTATTGGGGGATGAGGATAGACAAATAAATACAGATTAGAGATTATTAAATTATGATGCAGGTTCTCATTATTCATTGACTGTTTCTAAAATATCAAATATGTTTTAATAATAATACAATGCATCATACAATGAATTGCATCATATTAGTGTATATAATAGGTCATCAAATCAGTGTCAGTTAACTCTGTCAACTAGGTTGCCTGTAGGGATTTTTAATGTCCAGCAGGTGTCAGTATTCAGTGACACAGTATCGACACAGTATCAATACAGTTTGGTAATGTGTCGAAACGTTTCATGACGCCTCATCAACCTATCACTAGGAGAAAGTACTTGATGATCTTAGTGTGATGGTGGACATAAACCACCAGGGAGTGGCGAGCGGATCTGGGGTGAAGCTGTGGTTGTGCTACAGAAGAATCCACATAGAGGTGCTGAGAGTTTGTAGATGGAAGCAAAGTAGGAGCTCGAGTTGGTTAGATATTTCTAAGGCAGCTGATTGGCAAAGGAACCTGAGGAGTGTTTCCAAGTCGTCTCAGGATTCCCCCTTGTTAAGCTGGGAGGGAAGGAAAAAGGCATCCCAACCACAGCGGCAACACATATCCTGACAAGTATTAAACATTACTGCTTTCTGTGAAGACTATGGGTGGGCAATTAATTGAATTCGCAATATAATCGCAATTTAATAAAACACAATTTTCAAATCCCTGAAGCATTCAACTTTTGTCACATTACATTTAATACGACTAAGAGTTAATCTTTTTCTCACTCCAGCTGATGAAAAAGATGTTTAAATTGAGTTTGCTACCACAAAAAAGAGAAACTTCCAGCTAGCAAGTAGACACTACAGTAAAGTCCTCCAACGATGGAGTTTGGAAAAGCAAGCTTAAGGTAATGAAAACTGAAGTCCTGCAGGGATAAATTTACATGTTTTTGGTTAATGGAAAGGAAAAATCGAAATAAAATTACAATCACAATATCTGTTGAAAGTAGTTGCAGTTTTGTTTTCTTGCTAAATCTTTCAGCTCTAATAAAAACCTGGATCCAAACACCTGTGGCATCAGCGGGCTTGTGTATATCACGTTTATTAGGATACCTCAAAAGGAAGGTGCTTAATAGAAGGCTTGAGTGGCTCCAGTCCCGTCCCAAAGAGAGCTGACACAGAGGAGACCAGAGCCGCAGATATCCAAAGGCACCCTAGAGTAAAGTTACATAGTTACATATGAAGGGAAGATGCAGGGACAGCAACACCCACCCTTGCTGAGCAGATGAGACCACAATGAGATCCAAAAGTCTCATCCCCACCATGCATGCACAAACCAAACAAAGTACCCCATTTACACTACCCTTGAAAAACCGTGCCGAGACTGGTCCGAACTCAGTAACTGAGATAACTTATTGCGTGTAAATGGAAAGCAAACTGAACTGAACCGAGCTAGACACAACCAAACCGCGATAACTGCAGACCAGTTCCAGAGGTGGGCTCGGCTCGGTTTTTCCCTGGCTCGGTTCTCTGATAACAAGAGCGCATGAGCAGAACACGTCATCTCCGTCTGGCTGCACATCCCGATTCACACTCCATTCCAGTAGTTGGCGGTAATACCCCTCCGGAAGTTGCTTGCCAACCAACACCAAACAGAAGAAGAACAACAACTATAAACAACGACTGAAATCTTCTCCATACAACATTTTGATTTGCTTGATTCCCTCCTTCGTCTTCTTCTTCTTGTGTTTTATGGCGGTTGGCAAACAACTTTTGGTGCATTACCGCCACCAACTGCTTGATTTCCTCCTTCAATACTGGCAGATCGTCACTAGGAGGGAGGAGTCGAGGAACCGAGATAGCGTGATGTGTAAACGGTCATCAGAACCAAGCTCGGCCTAGTTAACTGATCCGTGCTCGGACCGGTCTTGGCATGGATCGGTTTTTCAAGGGTAGTGTAAAAGGGTTAAAGCTCTGCACTGGTGGCATTCCTGCATTAAATCCTTTGCAGGAGAAATTCACTGATATTGACTGATATTTTGGACAGCCTGAAGGCTTCTTTTAAGCACTATCAGAGGTTTTGTTTTAATTGAGTTAATTGTCCTTAACTTTTCAATGAATTGCCTTTCAACTGATCTTCCTAATCTTCCTAAAAACTTCCCACCCATTAAGACCTGAAATTACTTCCATCGAAATGAGGCAGTTAAGTTTAGGAGCTCTGTTTGTATCTCTTAAACATTCAATATATTGTAAAAGTTTGAACTTTCAAGATTCCCTCTGACCCATTTCTTAACATCACAACTTTGTCTTTGGAGCTAAACCCTAATCTCTTCTCATCACATGCACTGACATTTTCACCTTTATAAACCATAAGAAGGGTGGAGAAGGTCTGCATTCTATTAAAGCTTTATAACTAATATGATGTATTCTGTTTGCCTTGACTTTAAAATATCCGACTTAAAAAGCACACTTTCATGTCACACTTAGACCCCGAAGCTCAGTCTGTTTTTTGGGTACATGCTTTGCTGCAAATTCCAGCTATCAAGATATTCTCCTCATCTTGTTCAACTGGTTGTCTTACTTGCAATTTAAGTTTTAGTTTAAGTTTAATTACCACAAGCGCAGGTTAAAGACATTAGTTCTTCCTTTGCAACAAGGTTCCTCTTCATATTAGTTATAAGTTAAATGCTTTGTCTTAAACTGGTAACCTGCAGAGAGCATTTTGCTGGGTTTAATTGCTCATTTCTAATACCAATGGCCTCTTTTTTGGATATATCTGACTTTTCTTTAGATGTCCCAGCGTTTTTATTGTCATTACACTGTCACAAGTACAGAGCAACGAAATGAACTCTCTGCATTTAACCCATCCCCTTGGGGAGCAGTGGGCCACCATTGTGCGGCGTGCGGCGAGCAGTGTGGGGTTAAGGGTCTTATGCTCAGGGTCCCAGAGTGGCAGTCTGTGAGAGTGGGGCTTGAACTCAGGACCTCTGAATTCAAAGCTCTATGCCCTAACCACTATGCCTCCGCTCCCTGAGTATTATAGTAAAATTATCCTGGGCAAACAGTCAAATGTACTGATTTAAGAGGGAGAATAGTTGATAATGACAAACAGAGGGCTGTCTGTAAAGTATGGAGTTGTATTTGTTATAGTAAAGTTCCACAAAAGACCAACAAACTTGAAAATATTCATGATACTAAAAGAAACATTATTGATACAGTGAATAAAGTGTATTTGTGAAATATTTATGTTTTTTTCCTTTTCATTTGACTCAGTGGCCCACCACTGCATTATCTCCACATGAAACCAGACAAAACGATTTCTTCTGTGCTACTAATCTTTTGTTTTTTATTGATTAGGTAGTTTTAAGCTACATAGCTGCAGACTGAGACATTCACTTTAAATCAACTTTTTTTGTTGTACCTTTTGTTTAAAGGAACAAATCTGTACAAGGAAGGTGTGTGAGATCTATAGCTCATTGATCTGTTGTTCTAAAGACCAATCCTGGCCTCCTTAACTGCATTAAGAACATTTGGTCTTCTGAAAACAGGGAGGAGTCCAGACAGGAATGTCCTTTTTTTACATTTTACTTTTCGGTAGCTCTATGTTTGGGTCTTATTTTGGTTCCTTAACTGTTTCCTCAAAATGACTTATTTTTAGCCTAAGCTTCTTAGTTGTGAGGAAGAGAGAACAGACCTGTATTGTGTTGGATGAGCGTGGAGATGGGAGTTAGAGGGGGTTACAGGTTCACATTAGAGCCAAAACAATGATTTCGAGAAACAGATTCTTCTTTGACCTCGGGTCAAACATCCCTGAGATTGTGGGGAAGGATTACCCTGCTGGACACCAATATGGAAAAAATCAAATTATTTTGGTGAGCAATATTTGCTCCTCAGTTTGCACTCCTTTGGACTGCAGCAGCATTCTGATTGTGAAATCACTTTTTCCTTAAAATCTCATCTTGATAGTTTTTTTCTAGTAATCAATGCAAGTTAGAAAAATATATATTGATATTGTTCTATTAGTTACAAAGGAAGAAAGATAATACTTTCTACAAAACAAAAATAAAATGTTTTCTGATGTAAGAAAACCCCAAAACAATGTGTTGCAATAATGTTGCAACCAGAAATACCAAACTTTAAGAGTAAATACATTTTAGCTGACTTTCCTTTGAAGGAGAAGTTTCATATAAAAAGTTAATCAGCTAGATCTGTTATGAATGAATTCATTCAGTTGAATCAATTAATTAGTTCAGTAATGCTGTGAAAAATGATTTGTTCCTTTCTGTTTTGGTTTTACGCTGAAATGTTTCACATCATCAAACAAAGTTTAATAACGTGGAAATGATTGACTGCAAAATGTTTTCATATTTGGACATTTTGATCTGACATTTCAGATCTGATTTGGTTTATTAGAAAAAAAAAATTCTAAACCTTTGCATGTATCGGTTATTTTATTTTTTAACCCCGGTTTACGTTGCAAACTCCACATTAAAACATATGCAGCTATTATAATCAATGAGAGCATTTATACTGCTTCCGTACAGCTGTGCAGGGTGGCCATAAGGTCAAATAATTTTTTTGTTGCATGCCGGAGCCAGATAGCAGACAGTTTAATAAAACTGCATCACACAAATAGAAAAATGAACGATCACTGCATTTCTAAACAATTCACCAAAGGCTGATACATTTAATTAATTAGCTTTAAGTGTTTTAAGTGTTGTACATATTAACTCAATTACTAGCCTGTTTATTTTAAAAAAGATGAAGATTAAACATTAAATGCACCAAAATAGCTTCGCTGCACTTAGTGTACTCTCCTATTTTTGAATAGAACCAGTTAAAATAGCTGGATGTCAAAAAAAAAAAAATGTAGGCGGTTTTATTATTTTAAAATCCATAGCATGGGTTGAATTGGTCCTATTTTTGTGTTTATCACTGATCATTGGTACATGATCTGCTCATGCGCCTTGGAGATTCTCTTGGCGTTGCACCAGAGCGCAGTACAGCAGATGCAGGGTAAGTATCGGGGTATCCTTTATGGCAACAGTCCCCTTAAATTGTTTTAGTAACAGGAGGCTTTTACACCACTAAGGGAGAACTTTGAATTTTTTTCTTAATACAAAAGAGGTGAATGATGAAAAGATGGAATTTATATGGAGCTTTTCTTGTCATAAAAGACTTATAGCTCTTTGAATCAGAGCTACAGTCACGCAGTTTCACTCACAAACACATCAGATCAGGTCTATATCAATGTTGAACAAAAAGCTGCAACCAGTATCACTACTTTTCTCACCCTGTTGTTAGGGTTTGGCCTCTCTGTGGCTATGCCAAAGCAATGGATTAGATTAGAATCTAAACTTTGACTAGACCATTTAAAGTCATTGTTCTTAAGCATTTCAGAAGTGTCCTGTCCTAGTACGCTCCTGTGGTAAAACCCAAGTGTGCTTTAGCTCAAGTCCAAACATTAATTGCCAGACATTCCCCTTTAAGATTTTTTTGTCAGCGAACACAACTCAGTTCATGAAGTTCCAACACAGCGTCCAAGCTACACTACTATGTATACCACCACCATGTTTAACCAGCATTCTGTCCTTTTTCTATAACGGTTTGCCAGTAGGGGACACTAACCTTTGTAAATGTTTCATGTTCATCTCATCAGTCCATAGAATAATTACCTACCTTTTTTTTTATTATTATTACAGCTTGTTACTAATCGATCGAAGATGGGGTTTTGTGTTCTTTTTGATTTTGAGGGACCTTGGCCTTAGCCTGACGTAGTCCTACTCAATTCTAGTCAGAATATGAGTCTGATACTGCTCCATAGAGCTGTGATTATGGGGCGTGTTTCGAACGAACCAGGAAAAAAAATGCCTCTGCACTCAATTGGATAGACCTACAACCAATAAGAGCAACGGAGTGCGTGACGTATGTTAAGCGATGCATAGTTGTTGTCAACAAAAATCAAAGCGTGCAGTTGCACGCCTAGAATAAGAAGATGAGCCTTGATCGCGTTTCTCTGTTCCTCTTTTAAAATTAATTTGCTGTTGATATCTTCTAGAACAGACCTAATAGCAGAATCTACTCACCTCAACTCTCCGGCGGCAGCCATTGTTGTTGTCACCCAAGCGCGCTTTGGTCACGTGGTTGATTACGTTACTGTTGATCATCTGTCCATCATCGTATAAAGCCCGCCCTGACAATTTGATTGGATCGCCTGACAGTGGGCGATAATACTCGCGCTACTATGGAGCAGAGCCAGACCGAACTTCCCGACCTCAAACCTTGTGGGCGGGACTAAGTTCGGAATGGCACCCAGGCTACCTTGGCCTGTCCCATGGACGCCTTTTTCACCTTGTTTCTTCATAATTGTCTAATCATGAACTTCGACCTTAACATATCAAAACCAGGACATGATGTGTTTCTTTTTAAGATCTGGTAGCCTACTTCATGTTGTCAGACGGGTGCTATTTATCCAAGTTCTTGGTTCTTCCAGTCTGGCAGTAATCAGACCTGGATGTAAATTCAGAATAGTTTAAGGAAAGGTTATTACATTGTTTTTCATAGCAGTATATCTCGTTCTATTTACCGTACATGTTTGATCTTTATTTTTTTGTTGAGCATTGAAAGCTAAGGGTGTTACGTCGCTTTTTGTTCATATTTCAGACACATATCTCTACACATGTGGATGTAGAGTCTGAATGCTTCTTTGTGTCCAGACTGTCCAGGCTGAGGGGTATTTTTGAGCTTTTGTTGACTTGGAAAGACCTCAGGCTGATTAGTCTTCTTCCAGTGGGATCAGCCGTTACTGTAAACATGTTCAGAAAATATTTGCTCAAGAATAGCTTTGCACCATTGTGCTCCCAGACCAGCAGGATGTGTTGGAGGATTTGGGTTTGTGTACAAGATAAGCAGCGATACAGGTTTTGATTGGCAGCGTGTCGCTATGATGTTGAGCAACCATTTGGGTCCCCTTTGGGCTTCGTCAGTGGTCTGTTTTGCTGAAGTTCAGTCTTTAGTAATGTTAAAAAGGTGCTGATTCTGTGCATTGACCAAGACGTCTAACCTTTGCATTAAAATTATTCACATATTTGGCTTTAAGTTCTTTGGGATTCTGCTTTAGATGTCCTTTGAAACTAGTCAAAGCTGGGAAAGTGCCCATGTGTAGTCCATCATTGCCTGTAGGCATACAGTATCTCAGCCATTTTCAAATAAACAAGGATCTTTATGTAGAGAAAAATCTGATCATTTACTGTGCAGAATAATTCTCTCTCTGAACAACCCCAGGGCCTTTAGATCCCGGTTATTGCTTTGTGTTTGTTTTCATCTCTAATGATATCCAGGTGGGGCATAAGTCCTGGTGACACTTTTATACATGACAGACTGTAGATGCATAGCCTGACTAAATGCTAATACAGCCCTGGAGGGGCTCTGGGATGGCAATGACATTCTAGAAAGCCTATATTAACCAAGCACCAGCCAGAGAAGTGGATGTATCGGTAATGAATCAAGGCCAAATAGTATTTGCGGCTATTTTAAAGCGGAGGCCACAGAGCTGAGAGCAGCATTGCTTCATCGTGAGTGAGTGGCTCATGATTTCTCTGTCTGGGTATTATTCAGCACAAGGGACTGAAAGACTTGCTGCAAATTGCCTCGCAGCTTGTAAATGTTGAGGACGGCGTGTCTGATTTCAGATTCCTAATGTGTTTTGGAGACTTGATGGCCTACCAGCAGCAGCAGCCCTCTTTCAAAAGCCTTCGGTCCTGACTGACCCGTGTAACATGAATCTAACGCAGCTGCTCTGTTTGTTCCCACAGGTCTGGTGATTGGCTTATCTATGACTCCGCCCACGCTCGACGGCTCCAAAGGCGATCGTGTAATCTCTGTCAGCGAAACACTTTCTATCACATGCAGGTATGTTTGTGCTGGAATGAACATCAGAAACTGGTCTATTATCACAAACATCACATCACAAAATAGACTTAAATGTATAGTTTCTTTATATTATAAGTTGGGTTTTATGTATATTTTCAAAATATCTCAGATAGAGAAACAGTAAGAAGTTTCCTTCAGGAAGGCAAGAGGGATCAGGGACACGAGGATCAGAGTCAGTGCAGAAATATGCTTTAATCCTCTAAAATGTTGGTAACCAATAAAAAATCAGCAGGGTAAGCATTAAAAAAATCAACTTCTAGTAAAGACATTTTTAATTATAACCCGTTACTTTAAACAGAATTTAACATTGAAATAAAATGAGGTGTTTATGCATCCATGTTATACATTAACTTTTTAAATAAAAAAATATCAATAAAAGATTTTAGTAGAGAACAAACACCTTTCAGTTTGGTATATAGATAATTTCCTGATTCGCATATTTTATAAAACATCAGAACTTTTTCCCCTTCTTTTTTATGGCTTAATGGGAGCAGTGGGCTTTAGGCTTCCCTGCAAGTTTTATAAACCTGGGTTTGAATGGAGACAAAGCCATACTCAAGCACATATCAAGGTGCTCATTCGTGAGCCTGGATCGACATTTATTTTTTAATATTATCATGGTGGATAATCCTGCTTCACAGCGGCACGTTGAGCCAAACATACTCAAAATGTGCAGGTCATCTTTGAGCACGCCATTTCACTTTACTTTCACCAGTTCACCACACTTCTTCCAGCAGTCCTAACTTTCTCTGCTCTCTTTTTCTCATCGACTTTTCCTTCTTTCCCATCGCCCAGCTTGCCACAGGTTTGCCTTACACAGCTCATTGGCTAATTTGTATCAAGTGTAGCGTGGTCCCTGATGGCCCAGAGGGCTTCACCATATTAACAAGAGAAGCAGTGCAAGTGAATTTAGACAATATCATCAGACAACATGCAGTAATTTATAAATGTTTTAAATCAGGTTGGGTCCGGATTAGCCAGCTGGTGGATCCGGATCCGGACGATGGTCCGCTAGTCCGTGACCTCTGATCTAAAACAATCAAAACTAAAAAGTTTTAAGAAAAAATATTATTTTTTGTGTTGTTGTGACTGCTAATGCACCTACAATACCACACTATTGGAGTTTTATTGTTGTTGTCTGTATTTTTGTGAGCAATGCAATTAAGTCATGCTTTACAACACAACTTTAACTGTAAACAAGCAGTATAGTGTAGTTGACTTTAACAAACAACATTAACCCCAGTCTGCCTCAGTGAGCCCCAGTCGGCCTCTGCAAATGGCCGCTCACACTGAATCTGGTTCTGCTGGAGGTTTCATCCTGTTAAAAGGGAGTTTTTCCTCTCCACTGTCGCTACAAGCATGCTTAGTGTGAGGGATTGCATTTGAGTCAATGAGTCGATGCAATCAACTGGTTTTCCTTAGATAGAAAACTTTGTATCAATTTGACTGTATGATCTGGTCTAACTGTAAAGTGACTTGAGATGACATGTGTTGTGAATTTGGTGCTATAGAAATAAACTGAATTGAATTGAATTAATTGGCACTTAAACAGACTCTTTTCTGGGGGTCTTTTAGCTTAAATTTATCCATGATATTTTTTACTTTATTCTTCAAGAAAACAAAGCATCTGCTGTCTACTGGGGGGACCTATAGCAACCTAAAATAGAAAATAAAAAGGCAGCACTTAATATCTGTTTATGCCTTTGTTTATAGAGTAATCTGCTTTGATGAAAAAAGTTTTTATGATCTCATATTTAAACATGCAAAGCTAAGGAGACAGTTATGGGTTGCTCTTACTAGTTTAAAAGATGTATTAGATATATGTATGCAAATTAATTGGGAACTTTTAATTATGAGATTAAATTTTTATTTTTTTCTTTCTGCAAAAAAGTACTGAAAGGCTAATTTATTTGATAAAATGAAAATAAAAACTGTGAACCAGTTCAAAAATTGCACCAAGAATTTGGTGGTTCATAGTTGGTTAGTAGGGATTTTCTTCCATTATTATTTATCATAGAATTATACAGACAATGCAGTTATAAACTGAGCTAATATTTGTTCGGTGAACAAAGCCTTTCTAGAAAATAAATGTATTGATCCTGTCCCTAAAAATTAAGATGTTCTCCTCAGCTTTGAAAAGCCTCACATGACTCCTCCTAATATCATCCTACAAAAAACATCCCTTGAAAATAATATCTATTGATAATAACATGAAAACTTTCCTTCTTTCTTGGTCAACAGTCTCTCTGTCCAGAGCTGACTGTGCCTCCATGCGGACCCTAAACATAAATTTTATATGGTGCTCTTTATTTCTGCCGTTATAATCTATTGCTGCAATCAGCAGTCTAATGATTAGATCAATTACGCACCTCCTATATATGGCGATACTGTTTACTATCTTTTTTATATATGCATCATCAGGAGTTCCTAAAAGTGATCAAATAAACTAGTATGAAGTTTATTTACAGTAAAGGTGTCATGGGGATTATACTTTTTGTGTACAACTGCAACAGCAATGTGGAAATATCCAATGGTGCAAGAAAAACGAAAAACAAATAAAGTAGCTTTGATGAGTAGAAATAATTAAATGAACCTGTATAAAAACACTCCTGAGTGTTCCGTCAGTTTACGGTAGTCCTTTCTTATCTGTGTGTCAGTCTGGCCCAAAGATCAATACTTTTTTATGTAATAGTAATGATTTCTACACAGTTAACGGCATTTTAAAGCAATAAAGCACAATTTTATCATGAAATCGTGTGGTTTGTTAATGTAATTTTATAGAAATCTTTATATCTGCAAAAAGTCCAAAATAATGAATTGTTCTTTGGTGGCCCTTAGATTGCCGGGGACCCTGAGCAGTCGTTCAGTTGCTCATACTTGGGTCAGCCCTGTAGATGTTAAATTCTCTACAGTGGACAGTGATGCTGGTGTAGCATCATTGAGGTGGTTGGGGGTGTTTTTGATGGAGCTATAGTGGTCAAAACAGGCAATGAAGCCAAATTCAAATCAAAAGTTGATAAAGCAGGGTAACGTTAGGAAATATTTTAAAGAAAGCAGTTTCAAATGGACAAAGAAATAATGACCTAAAAGTAAATATACTTGGTACATAAATTGACCCAGCTTGATTTTCTAGTGGTCACTGTAGAAGCTGTGTCAGTGTTATTCAAGCCTGTAGCTTTTGTTTCATGAATATGTTGTTTTTTTTGTGTGTGTGAAGCTGATTATTTTTGTTCTGATGCATGGATTTAAATACCTCAATGTAAATTTGCTCGTAATAACAATCATTTATCCTTACAAAATCTCAGATTTGCTATCTGCAGCCAAACTGTCACTCCATTTACCGTTTTGTTTGAGTGAAGAACAAAATCTGCTGTCTTTGGAAAGCTGGTGATACTTTTGGACCCTTCCCAAAGCAGGACTTAAATACTTTTGTTTGCATGTAAACCTCTAACGGCAGTACCACTGAGACAGGGTATCGCTTTCAGATTTGACCATTTGCTCTCCATGGTGTGCGGTTTTCTTGGCCTTAGATAGATGAACGTTTTTCACATGGGACTAGAAAATTACCCTCTGGGTGTTTTCTCAGCGCTCCATCATCTTCATGTTTTATCCAGTCATCACGTTTTGGCCCAGCCTGCAGATTACAACCATTTGTGTTTGATGTGGGCAGGTGATGATTGCAGAGCTATCCATTTTCAGGGAACCATTATGATCCCATGCAGCCTGGCCGACAATAACCTCCAGGTTAAGATGGCTAAATTTATGTGACAGAGGGCAAAGTAAACAGGGATGTGAGGTTCCATGTGATTTGCACCTCTCACTTTGGACAATAACTGAGAATAACTACAAGAATATAACTCCAGTGTCTTTTTTTTAATGGATGAATCTCTCTGTTTATGAATAGTTTACATTCTACACATCATCTTTTGTTCTTATTTGTCTATCTTGTATAATTATAAAAGAATATAGAATATTTAAAATCTTATACGTTGTTTTTATTGCTGTTTTCATCAGGGGACAGCGAACTCTGGCCTGGTCCTGGCCGGACCAAACGCTGTTTGGACAGGAACTCACAGATCGTCAGAGCCAGCTGAAGACCACCGGGTCTCCCAGTCAGAGGACGGTCTTTATTAGTGAATGTCCCGGGCAGAAAGGGCAGCAGTACTGCAAGAGGCTGGTCCTGCATAATGCTCAGGCCAAGGATACAGGCTACTACCGCTGCTACTACAAGGACATCAGAGCCATCGATGGCACCACCGCTGTCAGAACCTACGCCTTTGTCAAAGGTGAGCAAGACTAACTCAGGACATTTAAATAAACCACGCAGGGGGTTTAAAAAGTGTTTAAATGTCCAGCTGCCGGGACTGAGATCTAACAATATTAAAAGCTTTTAACAAAAGACTTGAAGATGAAGGTGATGGCTCTAAGATTCATGCTGGTATTTATGTTTGAGACTTTTAGTTTGAGGTAAAACAGGAAGTAATCAAGATGTTCTTGGTGACCATAGCATTCCATCAATGAAGAGTTTATCTACAGTTAGTGAAGCTCTTTCCTTGGGTTTTCTTTGGATATTGGTCGTTCATTCCATACGAAGTTCCTCTTAATTCCTTTTATGCATATTTGTATGAGTTCCTTTTTTTCTCCAGCTTTTATTGTCATTTCACTGTCACTAGTTCAGAGCAATGAAATGAACTCTCTGCATTTAACCCATCCCCTTGGGGAGCAGTGGGCTGCCAATGTTTGGTGCTTGGGGGCGGTGTAGGATCAAGGGTCTTTGCTCAGGGACCCAGAGTGGCAGTCTGTGGTAGTGGGTCTTGAACTCAGAAAATCTTGATTCCAAGCGCAATGCCCTCACCAGTAGGCCACCACTCCCCTTTTCCTTCTAGTGTTCAAATTTGGACACATCTTTCGGTCCGTTGGTATTTTTAGCGACGATTTGGGGAATCCTGCCAAAAATCAAGAATACTTATTTATTCAATTTGAGAGTATTTCCTCTACTTGCACTAATGCTCGCAGTCGAGACTTCTGCTTTCTATCAGATCTCTTCTCTTATCCATCAAATTTTTGTTTACTGAGTCAGAGATACGCTCACAAACCTGTTGGCTCTGCTTGAGGATTTTTATTTGCTCTCTCAGACTGGAGTCAGATCATTGCCTAGCAACCTTTCCAGGCAACAGAACAACATCCTCAAAAAGGGTGGGCTTGTTTTCTTCCACTGAGTTGGCCTGTTGCTACTTACTGATACTAAAATTGCTTTTCAAAATAAAATCTAATGAAATACGAAGAATACATTTTAGAAAGAGCAGAAGTTTTTAATGTGAGCATTACATTTTTTTTTTGTGAAAATAGAGTAAATCCTTTCAGATTGAAAATGTGTGCTCTTGGTTTTGGCAGGAAAAGTCCTCCATATTTCTGCTGTCAGTTTGAAGTCTTTATTTGATAATTCTGGGTTTTCTTGAGGTTTTTCTATTTATCTATCTATTTATTACCATGCATGCCGTTGCTCTCTCACTCCTGTATGATTTATTTCATTGTTTTTTTATTATATAAGATAATTTCAACTTGGGGAGGTCAAGATATTGACTGTGTTTGAGGTTTTTTATTTTATTTATTTTGCAGTTTTTATCAGACTGCGTGAATTCAAGGCTGGCTTTAAGTCATTTAATGTCAGAATGCAGTATTTGAGGGGTGGATAGTTTGTTATGTGCTCAAGAGTGGTAATGTCTGTCCCGGTAAACCAGTCCCGCTCTGCTTGGTTCTGTGGACGACTCATAATGTTGAAGGTGATCCAGAGTCGCTAGCGAGAATTCAAAACAGGTCCCCCTCTTTTCCTTAATGTTGGCCTTCCTCTGCTGACAGGGTGCCGCTATGACCGTTATCCAGTTGTCTCACGGTTGCTTCCAGTCTCGCAGAATAATCTCTCTCCTGTAAAGAACTTATCACCCAACGGTCTCAAATTTCTGTCCAAAACATCTCCCAGTGTCATTGTGTCAGTCTACTTGGTAATCTAGAAGAATTGAACATAAGATTCAACAAAACCCAAACACCATGGCTTTTGGCCTTGGCCATCACAATGACTAACTTCTCATATAACAGATATCAATGAAACAACAATCCTCTATAGATGAAAATCAATTCCACATTTCTAAATGCTATTTCAATGCCAGTGAATTTAGGAAAAAAGACCAAGAAAGAGAGGGGAGATATGAGAACTTACCAATGAGATATCTCCTTCTTCTTCTACTTGACACTAGTTAAATCAAAATAAGGAACATTAGAAAAAAGGAAAATAATGAGAAAAAAATTCACCCTTTCTCTGGGAATCTTGCAGCCAAACTTGTTATCCTTGAACATATGTATGTCAGGAGTCAGAACAGGGAGAACCCCGTATTCAGGCAAGACAGACAGTGGGATAACTTCAAAAAGCGTTTATTAAAACACTGACAGATCAAACTAGCAGTAGTTGGGGCGTCTAAGGGCTGGAAAGTCTTTAGAGAAGAAACACAGATTATTGACCACAAAAACCTGATGAAGGATAATCTGAACATGTGAGTACTGTCCGTACCCAGAGAACAAGGGGGATGGGATGGTCCAGACACAGTGGTTTTCTGCACAGAGACGTCGAAGCCTAAAAGATCACAGAACTGACGAGAGATCAGATCCGAGCAAACGACAGAAGGCAGGATAATCCAGAGGGTAAAGCCAAGAAACAGATCCAGGTACAGTCCACAAATGGAATCCAACAGAATCCAAAGACAGGTCAGGCAAGCAGATCAGAACAGGGACAGGCAGGCTCAAAGGTTCGAAGACAGAAACGGGTCAGGATCAGGCAATAAGAACATGATAATTAACACTAGAATAATTCTCCACCAAAGGCTCAAGAATAATCTGGCACTGACGACTGGGAGCAAGCAGTTTAAAAAGAGGCAAGAGCATGTGGATCAGATGGGCAGTGATGAGAAACCAGGCAGAACTGGACAGGTGAATGAAATGAGTAGTTAAGCTAGTCATCATGACAATGTAGTCTTTTTTCATCGATGTTTACTCCATGTGTATAGATGTTATCATTTCTTTTGTTCTCTTATAGGGTGTTGGTTATGTTTTTGGTAGCAGAAGGAAAGTATCCATGGTCACTCACTGCAAGAATACAGCAACTGGTATCTGTTGGTGCATCTGAGACAGGCTGATAGAAAGCGAGAAGTTTTGCATTATGACGAACAAATAAAGAGCGCAGAGATAGATAAATTATTTATACAGGACATTATTTCATTTGTTGCATTTATATGTATACATTTTTTAGCAATGGGGTAATCCCACAGCTTTCCTCCTCTAAGTTTTCCCCTTTGTAAAATCACTGTAACCCCAATGCTGGCTCCATCAAGCAAAAAATCAAAACAAGAATCTGATTTTCCGGTACTTATAGTTTCTTTCTCATGTCATTTAAAGGTAATTGTGTTTGCAAAATGCAAGGTAATTATAATAATTTCATGTTCTGTTTTGACAGGACATCTCATTTCACCTATTTTCTTTTCCTTTCAGAAATAACTTTTTTTCCATCTCTGTCCTTTCCTGAGCAGAACGTGCAGCTTTTCACTTATGTTATCATTGGATGGTCCACAGGCAAACCTGGGCTTTTTAATTGAAAGAGATCCTGTGTTTGAATATTACTTCAATATCAAAGCCTCTGCTTCATTATTCAAACTAGAAATTGTTGAATTAGCTTTGGTTACACTCTGGAAGCTGGCAGCGTTAAAGTTTCGGATATTATAGAATTGAAAGCTTTGATAAAAAAAGTAATTAATCACCCTATTCAGGTTTTTTTCTTTGTGAATCGTCATATTTTATTAATTTCAGAGTAATCAAACTGATAACTGCACCAATTGTTCCTGCCAACACATCTAATTTTTATGTGCTGTTTTCTCATGAAGAACTGACAGCCATGATTTAAAGCTGGAAGCCTTGCTGTGGGGCTTATCTCTTTATTTTTATTCTCTCTCTGCACCGTGTAAGAGATGTGCAATGTCCAGCAGAAGGAATGACAGAATATCGTCATGAAGGGGAGCCCCGCTGTCCAGACCACTCATGTGAAACGCCTGTTTACCCCCCGACTAGGTGCCAAAGCCACTGCTTAGATCTAAGGGCTGTGCTGATCACAAACAGATGTATTTGGAACCATAAATTCAACCCAGCAGGTGATGGGATGAGAGGCTGTTCATGTGGATTCAATTAGACGGGCAGATGTCCACAAAACTCTGAAATTCTCAATACTTTCTCGTCAGATAGAATATTTTTCTTTTTATTATGTTATGTTATTATGACCTATTTGTTTAACTATTGTCAACTTTTTTTTAATCCTCCAGTTTGACTTATTTTGCCAGTTTTGCAGAAATATTTGCCGTTTGAGGATTTTTTAAGACTCTTTTTAAAACACCCACAAACCTCCTTTTGGATTTCATTTAGGTTTCATTCTTGGTCAGAGTGAAGTTTTTAATTCTTCTTCTTTTGAAAGTTGTATGTGATTTCAGCTGTGTGCCTTAAGTGGTGAGGTCTGAGGGGGATCATCTTAGTCATTATTATGGTGTATCTACAGGTATTTATGTTGCTCTTAATAAAACATCTTTCACTATTTCTCGTCTCATTAAACTTGTTCTCTGGTTTAAAGATGTTGGAGTTTTGATTTTGCAAACTTTGTGTTCAAATGAGTTTGATTCCTTTGGAAAAAGTATACATATGCATATTCATATGAATACATTCATTTAATTTCTTGCAAAAAGCATTCAAAGCCCTTGATCTTTTTATTTCTTTTTCTTTTTCATGTTACTACCACAGATTTTAATGTATTTTAGGATTGTATCCAGCCAGCCGTCCATCTCTATTAGTCATTGAGTGATAGACAGGATCCCCCTTCAATTTATTACCCACATATAATGCACCACTAGCAATTTTCTTCTAATGAGTGAGTAGAATAGAACTTAATTGTGTTTCAGTGGCAAAGCAAACAAAGAGGTTCACAAAAAACTGAACATGGAAAACAATAATAAAACACCAAAATCCATAGACTATATAGCAAAACAATAAACTAATCTTATACAATCTATAAAGAAAAAACAACCATGGGAATAAAAAATGGGCATGCCCTGGATAAACGAAAAATGTTCAAGACAAAAAGAAAAACAGAAGCCTAGTGTACAAAACTGTACAAAAGTCCAATAGTGTGTGAGTTGCTTATTTGCTTCTAAGATGTTTTGATGCATAATAATCCGTTAAGAAGAGGGATGAGACACAGCAAAGGTCCTGAGGTGAAAAAGTCAGCCCTCAGAATGCTGTGCCACAGACTAATGGCTTCTCTGTATGGGGCCACCGCTCTGCTACTGTGCCACACAACCCACTCGCTGGTGCGTTAGAGCCAAAAAAAAAGCATTAATTGGAAATTAATGTTCACAGATGTTCTCCATTCAGGCTTTCTGATCCTTAGATGTACAAATCTGGGCAGTAAATACTCTAAATATCCCCATAGCTTCAAATAGGAAACCATACTTTTTAAAAATATTTGTAAAAATCACTCACCATGTGTCAGATGATTTTTCATTTTAAAACTTGGGGATTTTTTGTGTTATGGGGATTTAAGGTCTTTCTTTAAATCCCACTAAAAAAACAACCTTATATTCATTTTACTTCCTTTGATACCTGATTTAACAATGAAAAAGCCCTTTTATTGAGAATCAGGGCAGAGCCGGGCTGCTAAACTCCTGGTTAATTTTAGGACCTCTTGTAACATACATCCTGATTAGACCTCCAACTGTGCTGATTGGAGTCTAATTCTTGGCAGTTCACTCGTCCTTAAGTACCCGTCCTCCACATCTGAGTAATCTCACATTATTCCACATTTCTATGTTTTTTTCCCCCCTTCTCGTGGTAAATGTATGAGCAGCTTGGAGGTCTGAGATTTAGTCTGATCTTGTTTTCAAACTTTTGCCAGATTATTTGATGAAAGAGAATGAACTGTAAACAAGCATTACTATTATACGTACCATTTAATATTCAGAGATTTGAGGACAAATTCTCATCAAATTTTTTTTTTTTACCACGAAACTATTGTTTAAAAGGTAATAATGACAGTTCAAGATTTGTGTATACTTTCTAGGTGATTTTTAAATTGAAATGTCTTAATAATACAACATTTAAAGCAAATAAAAAAGGGCAATTTATCCAAAATACTCCAAATTCTTCAGCATTCTTTAAAGATATAAACATATCACATCTACCTACTAAGTAAAATTTGCTTAAACACCTGGAAATGTACTTTTCCACCATATCCCACTTTTTTACAGTCCAAAACAAATCATTTTTTTTCCTAGTTTGTTTATTTTAATGTTTTATTCCAAGCCAGTGTGAAAACAAAAACAGTATAATATAATGTCAATTCTTTACAGTAGGTTTGGCGAAAAAAATTGAGAAATTAGGTGAATATGATGTACTACGGTGTTTGATAATCTAAATAATTTGAATTCCTCTATACAGTATTGTTTGTACATTTTCCATTTTTTTAAAGGATTATTCTTCTCTTATTCTGAACTTTGTTTTTGTTTTTTTATCTCCATAATAATAAATGTATTATTGTTAAAGATGTTACTGCGCTTATTTATTTCAATGTTTAGGTGGTGCATTCGCCAATCATCAGTCTATTTGTTTGCCATCTTTTTTTCTTGACACTCTTGAGTCCTACTTTTTCCGCCCCTTTTTTAACTTTAGTAGCTGTCATAAGGCCCAGAGTGCTAATTGTCCAACATAAATCTCAGAACTGGAGAAATTCAAAGATATTTCCTCAAATCAGGTCACTGAGAGATACTATTAGCATAAAATAAGCCCAGATCTTTCAGCGCTAATATGTTGCCTTGTTACATTATATTGTGTTAATTTTGATGTATATTAGAAATTTTATTTATTTTTTTTTTGTTCCTAAATTCCTTCAACGTTAATCTCACAATCAATTGTTGTCTCCATCAATGTTTTTTGTTCTTTGTGCCTTACTGGTACCAACCTTGATGGTAACACTATTCTACTTTGATTGTGAGCCTACCTTTACTTATTTTTGTAGCAATTTATTTTTTTTTATTAGATACTTAAACAAAGTATAAAAGGTTACTGCTGAAGAATCAAAACAAAAAAGCAGGATGTAGCAGGACAATTAAAGCTGAATGCAAATTTATTGTTATAAACTGGTGACAGGATGAAAGCTGGAATTTCCTCCAAAGCCCTGTCGGCTGCTCTGAGTGAAATGATAGAAAAGAACAAAATGTCAGAGCTATTTTCCTACAATTGACACCTTGGACTGAAACTGTAGTGGGAGGATTAAACCCTTCGCCTGCCTGTCTCACAGTTGGTATATAATAGCAGTTCTTAATGCTATTTACTGGTTGGACACCGACTGAGCCACTGGTAATCACGATAACCACACTATCAGAGTCAGGGAGATCTGCGTGTCTGCTCACAAAGTTACCTCAGTAATGGCTGCCATTACTCCAGCAGGTTTCAAGATTACCTTTAAATACCCCCACGTCTCTGTCTGCATGCAGACCCTGTGCAGCCCTTCCTGATGAGAGGTGGACCCAGTGAAGGAGTGCAGACCATTTTCATCCCTCGCTCCGCCACGCATGTCATAGTGCCATGTCTGGTCACGGTTCCTGATCTCAACGTCACTCTCTACTGGGTTTGCTCTCATTTTTTCTGACTCCTATTCAGCCCCTTGAAGTGTTTGGACATCATAGCTATTAAATCTCTTTTTTTCCATTCATAGTATTCTGGGCCTATGAACGCCAGTGGGATGAAGTGGAACAACAAGCAAGGCTGGTCCATTCCCAGATATGTCATCGACAGTGCGCCGATGGTCTTTGTATCATGCAAAGCCATAGTGGAAGGCCATCTTTACTCCTCTGACAACTACTTCATCCATATCACGGGTAAAAAAATGCACAACAATCTGGCACGGGCTGGTGTGAAAGGCTTGCGTTGCAGCAGAGTGAAAAAAAGAGTAAAAATACCATTCCACCTGGTTAAGGTGTCAGACTGTTTGCCTTACCAGAACCAGCATCGGTTTGTTTAAATAGACTGTATGATGTTTGCTTACTTTAATGTCAATATATTATTATCCATAAAAGCAATATTATATTTTAGAGCCATAAAACCTTTAAATTTCATTGAACATAGATAAAAATTATGATCTGCCTGTTCAGACTTGATCAAAGCAGAGATTTTATTTTAAAATCCCCCATAAAAAAAAAAAACCTCTGTAGAGATGCCTCTTTTAAATATGCATGGGCACAATTTGGAACCATTCTATCCTATAGATTTTTCTTCAACATAGGACACATCTGTTTTCCTGATAAAAGTCAAATAAATGTGTGGTTGTAGCTGTTTCCATTTAGCATACAATTTATTTTGTAAGAAATTCTTCTATTTACAGCATGTTTTTGCTGATGCTTTTAAATTTTTCCATAGGGTTCCAGTTTGTTAGATCCTGAAGGTAGTATGCTTAGACAGCAATTCCCTCGACTTTCTCTTCCTCATTGGGAACATTTTTATATGAGGACAAATTCTAACTGGAGACAACTGCTACGTTTCCCCCACCACATATAAAAAAATGGGTGTTATGAGCTTTAAGGCTGGTAAAAATTAAACTTTTTTTTTTCTCTTTGTTATACCAGGATCACTTTTAGTTTTTGTAAATATTTCCAAATAGCTTCATTTCTGTGTGGAAATTAACTAGTAGTCTCATGTCGACCAGCTGATCAGCTGTGCTCAGCAGCAAAAAGGGAGACACAATAGGGCTCATTTTGTCTGGTATTCAATTAATCTTTATTATATTTGTATAGCGCCAATTTACAACAAACATCATCTCAAGGTACTCAGGTCATGCAGTCAGATTGGATAAAAAAAATGCATCCAAGGAAAACACATGCAGATTACATTAAGTCATTAACCTTGCAGGATTCCCTCCTCCTGTATGGGCATTTAGTAAAAATTGACTTTTGCTTGCATTGTGTTGATTTTGCAGCAATCTGTCACAGCAAGCATGCATGCAGTGACAGCTGAGAGGAAAACTTGCTTTTCACAAGAAGAAACCTCCAGTAAACCAGGCTTAGTGTGAGCGGCCTTCTGCAGAGGCAGACTGGGAGTTAGCAGACATACAAATGAACATAGAAGCATTGATTCATGAACAATTTCTATGTTAGAAACACTAAAGGTCAACTAGCTCCATAAGTTGAGCATATAGCTATGTCTAGGAGAGGAACAGGGCTAAACATTGAAAACTGGCCTAACATTATAATCTATAGTTGGAGTGGTTGACGGCTGATGCCTTCCTCGAGCATTATGTTACAGTTAAACAGAGCGACAGGCCAGATGAAGCTAATAGGATAAACAATGCAGAAGTTAGTTGAACTAACAAAGAATGCAATGCATCTCATTAACATGACTTTAAACCATTGAAACATTATAAAGTGGTGAAAAATAAATCCAGTAACCAACCCTTGGTTAATATATACTCACAATACTTGAATGACTCCTGTTAAATTCAGCTTAACAACATGATCATGCTGTGTTCCCGTTAAAAAATAAATGAGATGGGAAATCAGAGGTGGTGCGAAGCTTAATGTCTAGTTTCACAATAATTCCTTGTGGCAATGAGTCAACCAATTATGTCATAATTCAGAAAATGTCAAGGCTTTTATTGAATCATGCCATTTCCTCAAAAGCTACTCCCTTCTCTAAGTGGGGCACGAGCTATTATGGCACTAGAATGTGACGGAAATAAAAAAAAAAAAGCAAGTGATGATCACATTTTAGACTCTGACTTGATGAACTTTCTGCAGAAGTTCCCTCTCATTGTGGATGAACTTCGAGGACCCTGGCCTAAAGCAAGATCACTCACCTTTCTCTACAGAGGAGATGAAAATCCTATCCCGCTGCTGCCAGCCAAACATAATAGCTGCATCAGTCAGAGGAGAAACAGAGTCTTCACTTTCAGCACTAATGGGGTGTTTCAGACAATGAAGCAATCATAGTGTATTTCACAGACATAAGTGTAATTTCCAGCGACTGCCAAAAGAGATGGTTCTATATCAGGTTCATTGGCCAGTGTCCAAAGTCTCTTAGCTTTCCTCTCTTCTCTTTAATTTAGACTTCATTACATTCTACTTTGATTTCTCCCAGAAGCAGTTTGACAGCTGAATGGAAATAGAAAGAACTTCTGACAGACAGTCCTTTTATAGTAGGGTGGCTTCTCTGGTCAAGAGGAAAGTCATTTCCTCAGGGCTTACATGGAGGAAGGAAAAAAGGTTGCTGACGATGATCACAGTGACCTCTTTGATGGACTCACTGTCACTGTTTTTTTCTTTTTCCCGGACAGGAGGTAAGATTTACGAAGCCAAGCTGTTTCCTGAGGAGCCGGTAGAGTTGATGGTGGGGGAGGCTCTCACCCTGAACTGCACGGTGATGGTGGAGTTCGAAGCCGGGGTGGACATCCAGTGGTCCTATCCTGGTAAACAGGTAATCAACGGATGTTAGCAGCTAAATATTTCAGTTGGCACCAAATAATACTCTCTGCATGCTTCTCCTTATCAGACAAACAACTGGGTGGAGACTAAACCGCAGCGAGAGGCTTTGTCTCATGCCGTGGAGGCGGTAAATGTGCTGACCATCCACCATGTCAATGTCACAGACTCTGGACTGTACATCTGCAATGCTACCACAATGGAAACAAACAGAGTTCTGCAAACCCAAGTCATAGTTCATGGTGAGAATAGATTAGGTTACTAATGTATTCGGGATTGTTTTTTTAAGTGGTTCCAAATCCTCAGTTACTGTGGTAATATGTAAAAATTAGAGTTCTGACAACTCGAGTGGTGGTGTTCTCTAAGATGAGCATACCCCGTCAGACCAGCATACCCATAGTCAATACCTGTTTATCCCTTTAGTAACTGAAGGGATAAACTAACCAGATTAACTAAAGTTTAGTTTATCCCTTTAGTTTTGTACAAAAAATATACTTTACACTACCTCAACGGGCGTGTATCCCTTTAGTCATGAAAAAAACAAACTATTCAATTATGTAGTTTTTGGTGTTCTTCTAAGCGTATGGCGATCTCACCTTAAATTGTTTTTTGTACACAACTAAGGTGATACACGCCCGTCGAGGTAGTTTAAAGTCTATTTTCATACAAAACTGAAGGGATAAACGCAAATCTGACATCTTGTGGATTTGTATTGACTATGGGTATGCTTGTCTGATGGGGTATGCTCATCTGACAGAACAGTGGCAATAGATATGCAACGTTTCAATGAGCAATGGAGCTTAAATAGTTAGCACTGGCATATACATCATTAAGCTGTGATAAACTACCGTAAATTAGACAACAGATCTTAAATATCCCCTCCTGCTCTCTGCTGCAATCTAGTGTTAAGTAATAATAATAATAAAGAATACATTTGGGATGGATAAAACAGACAGTTTATTGTTACATGCACAGTTATAAATAGTACAATACATACAATAAATAAAAATGTAAAGAAATAAGTATTTCTAAGACTACCTCCAATTGAACTTAATGTCTTTGATAGTGTAAACAACACGTTGACGTCTATAAACGTCCCATACTGTATGAGCCAACTGATTTGACTGACACAGGCTTTAGATTAAAAAAAAAATAAAAAAAAATCCAGATTTCCCATGGCTAACAGCAGAACTATAATATGTAGAAAAAACCTCTCAGTCAGTTAGATTTTTACTAATAGTTGTACGTTTTGTGAAATGTAACCAAAAGTATGGGGTCTGTCACAGATCTGCCTGTAGCTTGAATGGGCCGAACCACTAGACGCCCTCACAACCTGCTTCTCCATGTTTAGTTCTGGTTCTAAGTATGCAGAACAGGCTGGAGCCAGAAGACCTGAGTGGTCTGGAGGGTTGATACACTGATAGCAAGTCTGTGATGTATTTAGGTGCTAAGCTATTCAGGGATTTATAGACTAACAGAAGTATTTTAACGTCTATTCTCTGAGATACAGGAAAGCCAGTCTAAGGACTTTAGAACTGGGGTGATGTGCTCTACTTTCTTAGTCTTAGTGAGGACACGGGCAGCAGCGTTCTGGATCAGCTGCAGCTGTCTGATCCACTTTTTGGGCAGACCTGTGAAAACACCATTGCAGTAGTCAATTCAACTAAAAATAAACGGTGGCACAACTCTCTTATCTCTACAGTTTTAACTTAAACTATAACTCTACAGATATTTTAGCAACGCTACTAGAGTTCAATCAGTACATGACTTCAGAAAGCAGAACAGAATGTAACATTCGCACACACTTATGGTGGCAAGCTACATTGTAGCCACAGCTGCCCTGGGGCTCACTGACATAAGTGAGGTTGCCGTAAACTAGCGCCACCGGGCCATCTGACCAACATCAGTAGACAATGCAGGTGAAGTGCATTGGACATTGTGCAAGGACACAACAACACTGAAAACTAGAGCCAGGGCTTGAACCGTCAACCCTTCAATTTCAGGACAAACTCCTACACCCGACGCCCCAATGGATGGTCTCAACTTGTATTCTGTGACACTACTGCATATCTGTGGAGGAAATTTTGCTCCATTATTTTTGCAAGTGAAAAACATGTGAAAAATAAATGCGTTTTATAAGTGGAACTTTAACATATAATCAATCCAATAATCAGCTTTGAAAAACGTCATAAAAAAAAAAGGTTAGAGGATAACTTTGCTGTTTTTTTTAGATTTTATACCGAATTTCCCTTCAGGGATTAATAAAGTAGAATTGAATTTAATTGAATATTTCCAATTGTTTTTTTTAATGAATATTTTCAATTTTTGTTATTTTAATTTTCAGATTGTGTTTTCCGAAGTGCATTATTTTTATTGATTTCATTTTACAGATAATATTTTAGTTACCTTTGGAGCCAAGCTTTCCTCCAGAGTGCATTCTTAAATCTTCCATCTCATTTCATCATATTATTCCAGTTATTAAAGCAAGTACTATAAACAGCATCTTATCCACATAAACTTGCTAGTAAAGATGAAATCAGTCAGGGTGGGGAAAAAAAACACAAAAAATGTTATTTATCTCTTGAAAGTAAACAGATATTTTTTTTTATATAAATCTTGGAAGCTGATGGAAATGTTTGCCTCAGATCAAAGTTGTTTTTAATGTGTTAAACCACAAGAAGGGTATAGAAAAAATCTTCTAAAAAAGCAGGTCAAACACAGTGAATGTTGGGCTTTTTTTTTTAAAGCTGTTAAAGCTCCATGTAAAAAATTGAATGTTTTGAATTCTAGAAAGGCCTTTTATCAACCTGGACTACAGAGACGGACCTGTGGTGGAGGTAACTGCTGGACAGAAGTCATTCAGATTACAGCCAAACGTCTCTGCCTTCCCCACACCTGAAACGCAATGGTAAGATAAGTCACTGTGGTGTTTACAAAAAGCAATGGGATATTTGCAGAGGCATAATTAGCCCTGACATGACAGCAATTTAGAGATTAACTGAGAGAACAGAGCACCTGAGCAGCAGAAGGTTTTTTTTTATTTTATTTGTGTTGCTTTAGATGTGTGTGTGTGTGTCTCCTTTCCAGGTATAAAGACGGCGTGTTGATAAACCACCGGCCAGAGTTTAAGAAGAAAAGGATAAGAATGCACTCTAACCACGCTTTGGAGATTAAAGATGTTTGTCAGGAGGATTCTGGGCTGTATGTGGTGGTGCTGAAAAACAGTGCCGCTTTGCTGGAGAGGAGGCTCAACATCACGCTGGTTGTCAATGGTATGTGTTTGGTATTCTGGGTCGCAGATCAGATGGGTAACTTCTAGGGATGCACGATATTGGGATTTTGGCCGATATCCGATATGCCGATATTTTAAAACTCATGTAGCCGATAACCGATATCGATACCGATGTTAAAGCTGGACAAAAATAAGCAGTCATTGAAAATAGCAGTTTTGTTATCCATTTCTGACACTTTGAAAAATAATATACTAAAATATATTTTCATATGCTGATATCAAATAGATTTTTAAAAACGCGGTATCGATCTATTTTACTTTCAAAATCTCGTGAAATTTCATCGTTCTGTTACAAACTATCGTGATATATTGCAAATTCTTGTGAGATTTTGTTAGTAAAATAGATCGATACCGCGTCAATATATCAACATATAAAAATATTGCAAAATTTTGTGAATTTTCGGGGGATTTCGTAGCATAACGATGACATATAGCAATATTTCATTAGTAAAAGAGATTGATATGGTGTTTTTAAATGGCAATATATCAGCATATGAAGATATTGTGATATTTTAATGTATCAATATTTTTTCCCTCAGCTTTAGAAGTTTTTAAGTCTGTGAAAAAGATGTTTTTGAGGAAGAAGAAGAAGTAGAATTTTTTTTTTTTTTTTTTAGACTTTAGGAACTCAGAAGCTGATCACATATTGGGTTAAATATCGGTGGGGTGGCCGATGTCCGATATTCAGTTTTAAATCGTGCATCCCTAGTAACTTCCTCAAAGTCTGCCTGCTTCCTGGGATGGAGGTTAATTTAGGTTTAAGTTTGTCTTTAAAGTTTGTAAGAGACACCATGTTGACAGAAGCATGAAGAGAACAAAAACTTTCCAGAAATCTAAGGTTAGGAAATATAATGCCAGCCCTGTAAAGTTGTTGTTTTTTTTTTTTAGTTTAGTAAATATAATTTAATATTTATCGAATATTTCTCCAAATCTTATCAAATCAGAATTTGATACATAAAGGTGTCTTTTCTAAGACCAGAGGTGTGCAACCTTTAAAGTCAAAGGAAAATCCTATTTAAATGTCAAATCATTCTGGCTTAAACATATATATAAAAATGTTCTCTTTATCAGACGATATTGTCCCAAAATTTTGAAAATTTGTATATATATATAAAAAAAAATCCTGTCTTAAAATCTGTGGGGTTTTTTTTTCGCTATCTCATGCAGGCCAGTTAGTTATAGGTCAGTTTGTACACCTAAATTCAGCCAATCATATATCAACAGTCATCTTGATCATATGTTGCAGCTAATATACGAAACGGTTGAAATAAGAAATAACAATAATTTCCTTTCCCACTGAGTTCCGTCCCAGTGTTCACAGGGATGGACATCTGTGTCTTCGGCAGTCGTAGAGCTAACAGAACTGGCGAGGCAAGGGCTGAAACATGTACGGCTGGAAGCCTTCTACACCAAACCAAGCTTCTGCCGCCCTGGCGTCCTCTTCCACAACATCTTCGTCCCCGCTTTCCTCCTCTGAATTAAAAATGTATGACAGAGGAAACTCATCCACGACCTCCGACACTAAACTCTCCTCCTCTCGCATGTTTCCTCTGTCCATAGCGTTCCTTGACAGCTTCGTTTCTAGGTCACTAATTTAGTGCCACTTGGTCCCAATGTTATTTTTCATTGGGAACCTACTAGCACTAAGTTGCTAACTGGTTAGCAAGATACTTTGAAGAAACCGGCCACAACCAAACTTACTTGCGAATCATCCGCCACAACAATCCCGCCCTCTTGATAAACGACCAATCACATTCACTTAATTCGTTTAAGGTTGTGCACCACTCGGAAGAATTTGGAAATGTAGCGGCTGGAACGGCTGTTTGCACACGACTTTAATATCCAAAAGTTTCACATTCAGTCCAGCTACAGAAACTCTTCTAGAGTCGCCACCATTACATGAGCTTTTTTAAAGAGAGAAAAGATAGAATATATTAAATACATATCTACCAAAGCAGTTTTTAAATTTTAGGTTTTATACTTAAGGAAAAAACTTTTATTACATCTTAAATCTATATTTTCTGTTATATTTAGAGCCAATTATTTTGGAAATTCAATGCAATTACTCAATGGAAGAAATGCTAACCAGCTTTTATTAGGAGATTTTTTTTCCAAAGATTAGCTATCCTTATCCTTTTAGCCAAAGTAAAGGGAGCTATTGTCAAGTGTCTAAAAAGCCAATTGTAGCTCCAGAGCCTCAGGCTGCAGACTAAACCTTCTTTATATCTATATTTGTTTTTATTTGTTGAAGTAAAATGAGAAAAATGGTTCTAAGGATCAGACAAACCCAAAACAAACAAGTCTCTCTTAAAAAAAAACCCACAAATTTGAAAAATGTGTCCAAGTCTCGTTGAGCCTCTTTTCTCGCTGCCATTTTCTTGTGGTTTTACCCTCCCTGTTGATTTTATACGTCAGCTCTCTTGTTCTTCAGTTCCTCCAGAGATCTATGAAAAAAAAGCCGCAGCTCCTTCCAGTCCTTATCACAGAGGCAGCAGCCAGACGCTAAAATGTACTGCCTACGGACTTCCTGCGCCCCACATCAGCTGGCAGTGGAGAGCCTGGGGGCCGTGCAACGTCAACAGCACAGAAAAACGACTGTAAGAAATACTTTTGTCCTTAATAGATAAACATGCATGACTGATTGATAAACTTTGCAGTTTGGGGATCTATACAGGCTAAATATAAAACTCTTTCACTGAGCATTGCGCTGGGCTTTCTCTTTCTACCTCTATCTCCACTGAAGGGCACAGCGGGATAGAATGGATTTTTTCACGCAGACCATATTTACTTTTGTTCCTATTTCTATAAGCCTCCATATTCTGTCTGCTTCCACCTGAAAGTCCTTCAGATAGCAGCACACCTCCACTATCTTCCCCTCTAGGCTTAATTCCTGCAGTAATCACAGCTCTGACCTTTCTATGTGCATCTGCAACACGAACCCCAAATAAAGCGGGCAGCAAAGATAGAGACACATGAACGAGTTGCATGTTTTGGGAAAATGTTAGCCTAAGCTCTCCGCTTCATGTTCTTCCTGCTACATTTAAAGTGACATTTCATGGACAGTGACTGATTTAAAGCTGCTTTGACCTTTTCTAGTGTATCAGAGTTAAATGTCCTATTTAAAGACGGCAGTTTTGGATCCCTTGGCTTCCAAACAAACACTTTTAAAACTATGATTTTAAAAGAAGTGGTTTATGTGGAGCCTCAAACATATGCAGAGACTTTCTGATTACGGTTTTGGATAAAGTAATAAAGTAAAGTTTGACCTTTATTTTAGACAGAAGCTATTCCCATCTGTGAGTTCTGTGTGATGAAATTCAGGCTGTACATTATGCAGATGAGTTGCTGAGACCAGCAACAACACTGGATTCACCCAGTAGTAAAACAGAAATTAATTTGCAACCACAAGCTATGAATTAAAAGGTGGTAATCTGTTTCCATGTCATTAAAGGTCGCAGTTTCAGCACATTCTACTGCTGAACTGCTGAACTTGTCGGGTACAGAAAATCAATCTATCAGCCAATCAATCAGTATTTCAATAATTTTACCAATTATTGCTTACTACTAGTGGATACAATTATCAAAAGCATCATTATATGAATCATTGCACTGTAATTAGAAATTAATTCATCTCCCTAAGGAAGAGTTTTATTTCATGGTGATTTATGGCATTTGTTATAGAAAGATTAATTATTTTTATGGTGCATTTCATTAGTCACAGGTGGCTGGTAACCAAATGCAAGTAGAAAAACCAGTGAGATTTATTCATTTATTTCAGAATATGCATACAGTTTTACCATTTCATGCCTTTCAGCACTAAATTAAAATGTTCACAGATAGAGGTAATACGGCTCTATGTTTGTCATTCTAGTTTGTAGAGATAACGCTGTTAGATTGTGACCTCTTACTTTCCCTGTCAGAATGTGGACCTCAGGGAAATGTCTGGTTGTAGGTCCAATGGGGAAACATGGAAATCAGTTGTTTTTTAATAATAAAATGTGGAAATAAATGATTTAACACCTTAAAAAAATTATCTTTTAATTAGATATCACCATTATATTTTAGATTTCATTGTTCAGGATTTTATGGCACTTGTAGCAAAGAGGAATAACTATCTGTATAGATATTCCCAGTTAATCTAAATAATGAACATCAGTCACTTTATCAGCAGTATGTTAAATAATACCAAGGAGGCTGCATTGAGAATGTCTTTACTAATTTGTATAACAAATTAAATACACATTAATGCTCTCAATAAACTCTAATATTCACACTCCCCCTTGATGCTACAGTACTGTACTGTACTGTCACAGCCCAAAGAAGGCTGATGAGTCACTACGTCACAATTTATTAAAAGGAAAAGCTGTTTCTGTAACCTTAGAAGCCTGGCTAGATTTGTGGTACACATATGGAGAAAAAAGGCAGGACTTTTGCTTGACTAAAACCTAAAAAGTTCCCGGTCAGATTGCCATATAAACACCAGCAGTCCATCTGAACCTATAATCAGGGAGGTGATGGTACATATCTGCTCTGTTTCAATGCCCCAAATATAGAACTGGTCACTAACATGTAGCAGCTAATTTAATGAGCTTTGTAAAGCCCCTTTTTAATGCTGGTTAAAAGTGTTTTATTTGCTTGGTTTAACTTTTTATCCATCCTAAATCTATGATGAAAAATGAGCAAATTGATTTTTTTAACCTTGATGCTGCTAATTTTATATAAAGCTGCACAATATTTGGTTGAATCAAAGAATAAAAATTTATTCAATAAATCCAGTTTAGTCAGTGATCTATTTTTGTTGTAGTAACACAATGTTCTCAGCACCATCTGGGTAGTTTATCATTTCATCCAATTGTGTTTCCTTTTAAAGAAGATTACTATGATTAATAGCCTATGTGCGCTTACATTAGCTACACAATGGAACAGCTCCCCAGTAAAAGCAACATAAATGTATGCCAAATCCAGATTTACTTTGTCATTAGAAATCATGTTGCTGTATTATTTCTGCAGATTATTAAAGCTGTAAAGTAAACCTATTACCTTCTCCTAATGTATAAAAGTTGCCTTTGGGCAGGAATGCTGAAGGAATCCCATTTCATGTTTCATTAGCTCTGCTATGATGTTCACACTGTGGATCGCCATGGTACAAATGGTTGTTTCCATTGGTTGCTAGGAAACCTGTGATAATTGACTTACAGGTTAACCTGCCTTATTTTAAAGCCTAGGATGTTTTGTTTTTTCCCACTTTTCTGAATTCTTTGGGACTGATACATGTAGGGATGTGTTTCCCTGCAGAGTCCAACGGGACAGGAAGAGCGGGAGAGACAGGATGGCAGACTGTCAGAACTGGCAGGAAATTGACTCAGAAAACGCAGTGAATGAAATCGAATCTGTTGAGACGTCTGTGGAAGTGGTCGACAATCAAGAGAAGGTTCATGGCAACTTTTTTTTATTGTTTGAGAAAAGACCTGCTTATTCGGAAATGTAAAGCTATGTTTGGCTATTTGTAGAAAGGAAATATGTTTTGTATGATAAGATTATTCAAAAACCTGGAATAAAACTTACTTTTAATTTAGACAGATTAACTTAAGAAGAAAGTTCATCCCAAAATAAAATGGATTATATTTATGGATTTAGACTTGTAGTTAAATTTGGCTGTTTTTATGTATTAGTCCAGATTTTTCAGCTTCAAAACAGAATAATTTGCCTGTCAAGAGCCATCCTCGCTGTAGAAATATTTAGAACAAGCTTCCTTTGCAGACTTCCTCTAGGAATTGGTTATGAACACATCCAGACACGTGTGTTAGTGGCGCATTTATACAGCACTTCTATTAAAGGAAATGGCCACAATAATGCATACTCATGCTCTCATATGCAAACATCCTGTTTCTTTCAGTCACACCAGATTAAAATCTGTGGGTTTTTTGGCCAGTCAGCAACAAACCTGGTCTAAATCCAGCTGACAGCAGACTCTGCTTCCTTTTTGAATTTGCGCTCCACTTCTCTGTGAATCCAACTCTCTCCTTCTTTTCTCTCCTATTAGATTGTGAGCAGGCTTCAAATACGAAACGCCAGTGTTTCAGTCTTCTACAAGTGCTCTGCTGAAAACAAAGTGGGCAAAGATGAGTTTCCAATCTACTTTTATGTGACCAGTAAGTATGCTGGGTTCTCACACAACTGGCCACATAGTTCGCACACATCTTTATAGTCTGGGCTGTGGAGTAAAGTTAAATTTCTTGGTGAGAAATGGTTACGTTTAGATGATTTTAACAAACAATTTTTTATTTACCTGCATGGAACACATATTAAAATATTTTCTAACTTAGAACTTTGTTTTCTTAAGCCAGTCTGTCATTTTAAAAGCTCATTTTTGTATAGTGTTTATATAGCTTTTCATTGGATATGAACCTATGATTTAAAACCATTTATTTCTATTAAACCATTAAACAAAAGTTTTCTTGTCTCCTTAAATCTACAGATTTTGCCACATGACCACCAGAGATCATATTTAAAAGAATTTAATTTAGTCTTTCAAATAGAGATTTAAAAATTGGGTCTTGTTTTCAGTATTGTGGGATGTTTCAATCATCCTCTTATCAAGTCTGACTAGTTTCCTTGTACCCACTGAAGACAGAGTCCCCACAGCCTGATGCTGCCACCACCATGTGCCTCTATGTTGGTTTGTTTTGGGGGATGTCTCTAACATTGGGAGTTCTTAATTCTCTCAATCATTAATATTCTTTTGATCCCCTCTCATCCATAAAAGTAATTTTTGTAAAGTGCATGACTAAAACCTGCCCTTTGAAACAGATTCCTTCCCCTAAGCTGCTGTTTTTTTGCACGTCCTGCAAAACAACTGCTTCTCGCCTGTTATTTCAAACCTTTCCTGTCCGGTTAGTTCAGGTCGACTTACATGTCTTCACCCTCTTAATGTTTAGATACATTTTTTGAGCTTTATATAATGTTTTATTACCTAACTGAGTGAAACTGATGATGTAGTATACATAATTGTACATACATGTCTTATCCTGTATTCCTTTCTGTTTTCAAACAACTGTTAAATAATTTTACTGAGCTGTGATCCCCCCAGCAAAACACTGCACTGGAAAAAAGATCTAGAAATAAGAAAAACATTCTTAAATTAACTGTATTTACCCTTAATTTGAGTAGGTAAATTAGATAGTTTGCCAATGGAATGAGTATTTTTCCTCTTAAAATAAGATAATTAGATAATATGCACTTGAAATAAGACAATGCAATTATGTTTTCTTATTTTTAGTGTAAATTGTCTTGTTCCATTGGCAAAATGTCTCTTTTGCCTCCTCAATCCACTAATCACTAATTTTAAGAAAAAATTACTCATGTAGATTTAGATTTTTTCCAGTGTGAAACAACAAGAAAATTCCCAACAGTCTTAAATGTTACATTATAATGTTAATTTTTTTTATTGGTGAGTCTCCAGGTTGTCTACTAGTATATCACCACTCTATAGAGATACTTCAAACAAAAGCCGCTTAATCTCTGGTCACAGGCCTCTGGAAAACCTTTTATGTCCTTTTTTATGTTGTTATCCAGTTGGATTGTCTTTAAAAGCAACACCTTTTATAAAACTTTTTTACATTTTACTGCCCTCTTTCTCTCTCTCTCTCTACCTTTAAGCCATCCCTGAAGGTTTCAGCGTGGATGTTCATCCCTCTGAGAATCCCCAGGAGCAGGAGAAAGTCTCTCTGTCCTGCAGTGCTGACAACTACACCTATGAGCAGCTGCTGTGGTACCGCCTTAACCCCCAGGCTCTGGAAGACCAGCAGGGCAAGCCTCAGGGGGTGGACTGCAGCAGCGTGCACCATTACGCTGAGCCTCTGCAAGCAGAGCCCTCCTTCCAGCGACACTCAAACAGCTGGGTCCTGGAATTCACCATGGAGTCCATACGGCTGCAGGATGAGGGACACTATGTGTGCAAAGCTCAGGGAAGACGCAGCGAGGAGAAACAGTGCCTCTTTCGATACATCTCTGTCAAAGGCGAGTAATAAAAGGCACTGAAAGCCCCAAACGGAGAGATGCACACAACAAAGAAAACACTTTCACTTTAGCTAAAGCTATTCAGCTCTCAGTGTTAAAAAAGAAACAAAAAAAAGGTAATGGCCACAACAGTGAGGAGCTGGGCTGCAAATGCTGGAGGCTTCCAATTACACACAGTCAGTAAAGCCCATGCTTCTTGGTACCCGCATCCACACGTGACACAGAGGGCACCTGGTGTTTGCACAGCACAGATATGTGCTGATGGAAAACACGGATGAAGACTCTAGGGCAGACATGTTGAATCCAAGTTTCTATAAGCTGTTTATTTCTGTTTACCTTCACAGCCCTGGAGGCCCCGCTGTACAAGCGCAGCCTCACCAACCAGACGGTGAACGTAACCGAGTCTCTGCGGATGGAGTGCGACGTTGAGGGCAGACCTCTGCCCCGTCTCTCCTGGTTCAAAGACAACCGGCCCCTGCACCAAATGTCAGGTGAACAAGGCAGCCCACATGGGTGCATTTACCCGACAGGTTTAAACTCACTCACAGCGAGAGGATTGGGCTGGAGAAAATAAATCAGGGGCTTGGAGCTCTGAACACCATACTGTATATTGAAAAAAGATTTCAGAAAAGCGGCGCCGAAACAACGAGAGATGATGCACATTTTTTTCTCTCTCCAATTTTAGCAGTCATCAAACCTACATAAAATACAGCTTAGTAAGTTAATAAAGTATAAATAAATATATGTATATATATATATATATATATATATATATATATATATATATATATATATATATATATATATATATATATATATATATATATATATATATATATATAAACATCTATTTCTTTCTTTCACTTTATCTATTACATAAAGTCCTGATAAAATTGATTGACATTTGCAGTGGGTCAGTATGGGTTTGACCGACAGATAATTCCATGGTTTGGCCTTGACAGCATGTTAAGACATGTAGGTTGATGGAATAATAAATGACACCTGCAGTTTGAAGTCTAGACCTCTGGCAAAGATCTTTATAAATCATGAAAGGAGAAAGAGCACCCACCCCTCCCCTTCCCTGCATGTACCAATAATCATCCTACATTTCCCCCACAGGGATCCAGCTGCAGGATTCAAACCGTACGCTGAGCATCCAGCGGGTCACAGAGGAGGATGCTGGCCTCTACACCTGCACCGCCTGCAACCAGCGAGGCTGCGTCCGCTCCTCAGCCGCCGTCAAAGTCATCGGTGAGTTAGCTGCACACGCAGACGAGCTCTGTAGCGCACTGAGGTCTGAAGTCTGCCCCCCAAGCTCCTGCCTCACACACACAGCATGCCTCAACCCTGAGACATTTGACTGCTGAAGTTTTATGCTTACTCTGATGCACTGCTCTCCACAATCAAATTAAAGTCATCGACTTCTTGGACATCTTGTATGCAGAATGAATAATTTAACAGGATTGCTGGAAGTGCTTCCAACACAAATACCTGAAAAGAGTCTGCTCAGCACACTAATTTCAGCACAAGATTTAGTGTCAGAGAGACGGGAAGATGCTTTGTAACACAGCACCCCCTGTAGGCGGCACAGATGCAGAATTTTGTGACTATAAATGACTGTTTTCCTGCTTTTTCTAAAGGTTCAAGTGACAAGGCGAACGTGGAGATAGTTATCCTCATCGGGACTGGAGTCATTGCCGTTTTCTTCTGGGCTTTGCTCATCCTCATCTTCTGCAACGTGAAACGGGTCAGAAAACCTAACTAGTCCTCCTGTGTATTTGTGTTTGTTAGAGAGATTAAAAGGTCCAGGGGCCTTAGACATTCCCAATTTCTGATCGACTTTAAGCCTTAACTGTAAATATTTGTCTCATTCCACATAACTTAGAAAAATACATTCCTTTTAACTCTCTTTTTTTCTGAATTTTTGCTTGCTTCTTATTGATTTCCTTTAATTTCTTGCTGAAATTTCGTAATAGTCATGATTTTGGTATGTCATGATAAATGATTCTAGAGGAGTTGATTTAAACATTTTAAATTCCGCCATTAAAACTGTAAAACTTCATAAAATACTTAAATAAATTGGAAAAAACGTTTTTTATTTAACGTATTGAGGTAAAAAAGCCATCCAAGGGAAAATGACCCCAATTAAAAAAGCAATTAGTCCCTAAAAGTACATCTATCCATGCCAGTTTAACCGTATCTTCTGCTGAGTAGTTATAAATTATCCACATTAGAGGGATTCTGAGCCTATTTAAAGCCTTTACACTGCAATTAATTGCTGTCCTTAGTTTAGATCAGCCACAGCCTCGCTAAGCCAGTAGATCTCAGTCTTCTGTACATTTTATCAGACAGGCTTCCCATTTAATTTTTCCTTTCTCTGTTCACGTTATGTAAGCCAGATTCCTTCATCCTGTCCTGACCTCTAACCTCTTGACCTCTGCGAACTGCAGGTTAACCCAGCTGACATCAAGACAGGCTATCTGTCAATCATAATGGACCCTGTTGAGGTGCCGCTGGACGAGCAGTGTGAGTACCTGCCCTACGACTCGTCACAGTGGGAGGTCTCCAGAGACAGACTCCGGCTGGGTAAGCATCTTGGGAAAAGTCCAGGTAAAGGTGGAAAGGAAGGCTGTGTGTGTGGAATTAGAGTATTTGCCACCTTGTGGGGACAATGTAAGGCCATTTCCCAGGAATATGTTACTTTGTGGGGACTTAAGGGACTTAAAAAACGATCTAGAAATAAGTAAAAATTCCTTAAATTAAGTGTATTTAGCCTCAATTTGAGCAACTAAATAAGACGATTTCCAGATGGAATGAGTATTTTTACTTTTAAAATAAGAGAATTTGATTATATGCACTCAAAACACGTCAATGCAATAGTTTTTTTCTTATTTTAAATGTAAATTGGCTTGTTCTATTGGCAAAATGTCTCTCTTACCTCCTTAATTCAAGAACAAATGCTCTTATTTTAAGAAAACATTTCTTGTTTAGATTTCAGTGTGGGTTTGGGGTTAGGTTTAAAACTAAGGTGTGAAATAAGTATTGGTGTGAAATAAGTATAGGTCAGGATCCAGTATATGTTGTTAAACAGTAGAGTGAGGTGAGGGTCTGGGTTGGTTCATAGAAATTAATGGGAAATGTATGGAAATCTAAGCAAAGTCCTGGTAATGATAGTGCAAAGTGTGTTGGTGAAAACATACCCAGGCATAGTTTAGCCCAAATTGATGAGGGAATCTAAATTGTTTTTCCATTTCCAAATTCTATAGCAGCCTGCATTTACATCACAGCCAGCTGTGCTGAAAGCTGCCAAGTGGAGAGTTAATGTTAAAAATGTCCTCATTTCCAGAAGAGTTTTTTAAAAACGCCCCAAGGAAAAGCATCTGCTTCACAACAGGATCTTATGGCAACACTTATTTCGTTCCCAATTACAGCTCAGACGCTGCACTTCACATTATCATTCCTCTCACTTGCCATCCCACAACTGTTTGCATAAATCTTGACATTTTTGCACATTTTTCTCTGTTTCGTTGACAGGAAAAGTTTTAGGACACGGCGCCTTTGGAAAAGTAATCGAGGCATCGATCTATGGCATCAATAAGAGCAACAGTTTAAACACGGTGGCTGTTAAGATGCTGAAAGGTGAGACTGCTGGTTGAGTTTGTGCCTGTTTTATGTTAGTTCAGTGCTTTAAGAAGTTAATGAAACACACAAAATGGAGGTAAATTTAAACCTTTACGGTTAAAACAACTCATAAGCACAAAGCAGGCTGCTTGATAATGTGATTTTTTTATTTTTATCAAATGATTTTATGTTCAAATCATTATTTTTCATCATTTAATTTCATGGTTTGGTATCAAAGTCTGTTTCTGATTTACTTTTACCTCTAAAATAGGTTTTTACTTTCCTGATTTTATATCCTCAACTGGTTGGGTGAGTCGTGGTGTCCCTCAGGGCACTGCTTGTTCTCCATTAAAATGTTCCAGTCAGCCTTTTTATTGCTCCCTAACTCTCCTCCTCTAATCTTTTATTTTGCTATAGTTGTGTCCCTAAATAGACACGTGTAAAAAAACTGTGATTTTTTTTTAACCTTCCCCATATTTTTTATCTGGTAATTAGAATTGTTTATTATGACAGTAAAGTGAATGTATCTAAAGTGCATCTAGCATTAAATAGGACATTATGAACATCTGCTCCTTTCCTTTTAGAAACTTGAATCTTTTTCCTTTATGGGTTTTACATGTGATGTTTAATTTAGGATCCTGCATATGGTCTAATACAGGGGCCTGCATTGTTTAAAGTCCAAAGAGACAATTTTGCTTGAGTCCAACTAAATGAAAGAGCCGCAAATACACCTTTTTATTATGGTTTGTGAAATATCCGCTGAAGGAAAAGTGTTCCCATTTTGAAGAACCAAAATTTGGTTTATATTTTTAGGTTTTTGAATAAAGAAAAGCATAAAACTTTTGTCTAAAGAGGAAAAGTGGATTTTATGGATGTGGATATCAGTGAACATCCATCCATTCATTTTCCATCACATTTATCCCGGCTGGGGTCGCAAGGGGTGGTGGTGTGTATCTCCAGCAGTCAATGGGCGAGAGGCGGGGTACACCCTGGACAGGTTCCCAGTCTAATGCAGGGCAACAGAGAGACACACGGGACAAACAACCATTCACAAACACACTCACACATAAGGACAATTTAGAGAAGCAGTTAACCTAACAGTCATGTTTTTGGACTGTGCATGCTCAGGGAAAACATACAAACTCCATGCAGAAAGATCCAGGGACGGGAATCGAACCCAGGACCTTCTTGCTGCAAGGCAGCAGTGCTACCCACTGTGAAGCCCTCAGTGAACAATTACTAATATAAAAAGACAAACAATAAAGCACATTTTTCTAAGCAAATGATTCTAAAAAGACATATTGTTGTTTTTTTCCTGGCATTAATGCTGTGGAAATTCAATCAAAATATTATTTTATAAAATCTGCAAGCGGTTCTAAAACTGGCATGTACTATGTTATATTCAAAACCATCCAACCATGGCTCTTTATCATTTTTAGCCTCTAGCAATTGTAAAAAAAAATCTAAAAAGCCACTAGTGGCTGAGGAGCTTCAGGTTGCAGACCCCTGCTCTAATAGGAATTATAATGTCTACAAGGAATGCTGATTATATATGCTGTTGCTCATAAAAAAAAATCTAATCATATTATCATTTTCACGACTAGGGCTCGGCAATTAATTGCATTTACAATCAAATTGCAATTTAACAAAACACAATTTTCATATCGCAGAGTTACTCAATTGAAGTCACTTTAGATTTAACAATATTAAGACATTACATTTCTCACTCCACCCTTTTAGGAGGTGGTAAAACCTTTGAAAGATAGAGTTCATAAAAGTAGAATTAGACACTTTTACACACAAAGGCTCTGTTCGAAAACCTGGGCTGCATCCTCCAAGCACGTGGTCTACCTAGACTGGATCCATCGAAGTCCTTGAAAATAAGGAGCCCGGAAGAGTTTTGGCTGTGAATTCAAAAAGGTCTACCCTTCGGCGGGTTTTACCGCCGTATGCTCTGTTGCTTAGCAACCATGAAAGTTGACACACAAAGCAGGAAAAGAATGAAAACCGAGGTTTTCAAAACTGTTTGTTTATTTATTTCTTTTTTATTGTAAAGTGAACAAAGACTACATTAACAAGAATCCGGAGTGGAATAAAGGAGCCAACCACCGGGAGCAGGAACAAATAAAATCAAATGCAATGATAGAAACTTTAGTCAGTTAACTTAACATGCTGCTGTCATTCTGCAATCTCTGATGTTGCTGCTATTTTCAAATATCCATTACTGTAAAAATTTCCATAGCTACATATTGGTTATTAATTCTCCAGTTTTATATTGTTAAAACACTTTACAGAATTGTATTTTTTATATTTTAACTCTTCCCTATTATGTTATTCTTATACATTTTTCTAAGGTCCACATTTGTGTGACCATTTTCAATAATCTTTCTTCTGCTGTAAATTTGCCCATTGTGGGACAATAAAGGGATTTTCTATTCTATTCTATAAAAGGGGTAGAAAGATATAAGTAAATCTAAACAATGTATTTATAAAAAATCTATCTGCAAAATCTCTAATATTCAACAACAAAAAATATGTAGTTAAGCATATTGTGCAAAACCGCAATAAAAAGATAAAAATCCTATCAGATTTACAGGTGCTGGTCATAAAATTAGAATATCATGAAAAAGTAGATTGATTTCAGTAATTCCATTTAAAAAGTGAAACTTGTATATTATATTCATACATTACATACAAACTCATATATTTCAGATGTTTATTTTGTTTAATTTTGATGATTACAAATGACAACAAATGAAAATCTCAAATTCATCATATCAGAAAATTAGAATATTACTGAAGACCAATAAAAACAAAGGATTTATAGAAATGTTGGCCAACTGAAAAGTATGAACATGAAAAGTATGAGCATGTACAGCACTCAGTATTTAGTTGGGCCTCCTTTGGCCTGTATTACTGCAGCAATGCGGCGTGGCATGGAGTCGATCAGTCTGTGGCACTGCTCAGGTGTTATGATAGCCCAGGTTGCTCTAATAGTGGCTTTTAGCTCTTCTGAATTGTTGGGTCTGGTGTATTGCATCTTCTTCTTCACAATACCCCATAGATTTTCTATGGGGTTAAGGTCAGGAGAGTTTGCTGGCCAATTAAGAACAGGGATACCATGGTCCTTCAACCAGGTACTGGTAGCTTTGGCACTGTGTGCAGGTGCCAAGTCCTGTTGGAAAATGAAATCTGCATCTCCAAAAAGTTGGTCAGCTGCAGGAAGCATGAAGTGCTCTAAAACTTCCTGGTATGTGGCTGCGTTGACCCTGGACCTCAGAAAACACAATGGACCAACACCAGCAGATGACATGGCACCCCAAACCATCACTGACTGTGGAAACTTTACACTGGACTTCAAGCAACGTGGATGAAGTGCCTCTCTTCTTTTCCTCCAGACTCTGGGACCTTGATTTCCAAAGGAAATGCAAAATTTACTTTCATCAGAGAACATGACTTTGGACCACTCACCAGCAGTCCAGTCCTGTTTCTCTTTAGCCCAGGCAAGACGCTTCTGACGCTGTCTGTGGTTCAAGAGTGGCTTGACACAAGGAATGCGACAGCAGAAACCCATGTCTTACATACGTCTGTGTGTGGTGGTTCTTGAAGCACTCACTCCAGCTGCAGTCCACTCTTTGTGAATCTCCCCCACATTTTTGAATGGGTTTTGTTTCACAATCCTCTCCAGGGTGCGGTTATCTCTCTTGCTTGTACACTTTTTTCGACCACATCTTTTCCTTCCCTTCGCCTCTCTATTAATGTGCTTGGACACTGAGCTCTGTGAACAGCCAGCCTCTTTAGCGATGACCTTTTGTGTCTTGCCCTCCTTGTGCAAGGTGTCGATGGTCGTCTTTTGGACAACTGTCAAGTCAGCAGTCTTCCCCATGATTGTGTAGCCTATAGAACTAGACTGAAAGACCATTTAAAGGCTTTTGCAGGTGGTTTGAGTTAATTAGCTGATTAGAGTGTGGCACCAGGGGCCATCAATTTTGAACCTTTTCACAATATTCTAATTTTCTGATATGATGAATTTGAGATTTTCATTTGTTGTCATTTGTAATCATCAAAATTAAACAAAATAAACATCTGAAATATATGAGTTTGTATGTAATGTATGAATATAATATACAAGTTTCACTTTTTAAATGGAATTACTGAAATCAATCTACTTTTTCATGATATTCTAATTTTATGACCAGCACCTGTATAGTCCTCACCCTGCAGATATATTAGAATCTGTCCTTAAATTAAAGCCAAACCCATTTAATCAGTAACAGATTTAAACCTTTAGATAAATCAAACTTTACTGCCACATATCTGACTCAATAACCATTAAAACAACTATTTTTCATTAATCTCAGACGGAACTATTAAATGACTTGTATTATATTAAACTGAACTTCCAATTTTCACTGTTCGGTGCCAAGTAATCTTTCCTCTGGTCACGGCTTGCTTGGTCTCGCAATGAATCCTGGGATATCCAAAAATACCGAGGATACATCAGACCCGTCCTTCAAATCAGGGAAAAAGAAGGACGCATTTTAAGGCCGCATAACGAGGACTCTTGGAATCCGAACAGACCTCGGTGCCGCTCTATGACGTAATCGGCCTTTGAATCCGGTCTTCTAAGGATGCGTCCTAGGTTTTCGAACAGAGCATAAGATTACAGTAGAGAGTCCTGCAACAATGGACTCTCGGTAAGCAAGCATTCAAAAATTGAAGTTAACTGCAGTTTACTTTTTCAGTTTTTAGTATATTATTCAAGCATATCAGTATCTAGTCAGCCATTATTCTGTTTCTAAGCTCATGATATTTAGTTTACAGTGAGATATACTTCTATCTGACATCCGCTACAAGTCACTGCATTTGTTCCCTAATTTTCTTCCATATTTTTTTGGCTGAATGCTTTAACTTATTGAGTAACACAACCAAACAGTGCAAAGAAAACTGACTTCATTCCTATAATTGCTATTTGGGCCCTAAATACAACACATATTTATGGATACAATGCATACTCTTCTTGTCTTTGTCGTGCGTCTTTCCCTGAAGCTTGGAGAACTCGGGTGTTTTAGATAAAAACAGGAAGCATGGCTTGAAGAGGAACAATACTTTGTGAATTATGGCTGATTACCCATAACGTTCGCTCTTCCCAGGGAATATTGTCTGGTTTGAACTCTGCCTGGATCACAGCTTTTACAGGACCCCAGGAGAAGCTTTAGAAAAATGTGTGAAGCTGTAAACAGCTTCAAAAGGAGGTTCAGAGCTGGGTGCTAATCAGCCGCACCTGCAGAAAGCCAAAAAAAAAAAAAACCTCTGCGAGCTTGTTAAAATAATTGTTCATGCTTCCACTGTGAGTGAGCAGAAACGTGGGGGTGTAAATGGAATGACGGCACCACGGGAAAAAAGCACGGAGGTCTGAATTAAGGATGTGTGTGTGTGTGTGTGTTGCAGATGGAGCCACGGCCAGTGAGCACAAGGCTTTGATGTCCGAGCTGAAGATCCTGATTCACATCGGTCACCATCTGAATGTGGTCAACCTGTTGGGAGCCTGCACTAAACCCAACGGTGCGTCCTCAGATTACAAGTTTCTTTTTATGCTTTTGTGGAAAAAAAAGAAAAGAAAGAAAGATTCAAATCCCCTGAAACTTTTCATATTTTTATACCAAAATATATATATTTTTAAACAGTTGTGCTTTGTAATGGAATGAGAAGTCTACAGGGGTTTAAACATAATAAGGAGTAGTTCATAAATACAAATCAGAGACATGATGTTATATTTATTCCTTCATTTAGCCAATCTCTGCAGAGCTGCTGTAGATGCAACTTCAGCTGCTGGTATTTTGGTATTTTGGGGTATTTGTCAAACAACCTGGAGTATGATCCTCTGTTGACATCAGCTGTCATGCCATGTATCTGTCAGCATAGATCTGGTCCAGGGGTGGAAAGTAACGAATTACATTTACTCACGTTACTGTAATTGAGTACTTTTTATGAGTAATTTGTAATTTTCTGAGTAGTTTTTTTAAAATATGTCATTTTTACTTTTACTCGAGTAAATTTTAACCTAAGTAGTTTTACTACGGAAATTTAAACCCTGTGACACGGAACCGACACATAATCATAACATAAACATAATAAGACTTTTGACTTTTAACAGCACTTTATTTAAACAATTCAAACATATAAGCAATTGATGTAAAAACAAGTGTCAGTTAAAAATCACTATTAAAGTAAAACAAGTGTCAGTTAAAATCATTAAATGAGGAGCTTGTTAATAACAGTGCGATCCTGTTGCGTTTTAGTTTGATTTCTGGTATCTTTTGGACATTTGATTTTGTGTGCATTTTGTAAACTTTAAAATGTAGTTTAAATTTCTTTATTCCTATCATGGTGTTGTCTGTTGGACAGTAGGATTGAAAATTGTTTGCACTTTATGGTACAGGTTGTGACTGTCCTTGTGCTGTGAGGAAGTATGTTCTATAGCCCAGCTGATCTTTTGCAAGTGTGGATGTCCACTGATATACGCCTTGAAATCGATTAAAACACCTTGTGGTCATTTCGACTCATGACTCATCCTTTTCTGCATTAAATAACTCAAAGTGACTAAATAACTTTTACTTAAATTACATTTTAAATGAAGTAATTTTGTACTTTTATTTGAGTAAATGTTGAGATGGGTTATTTTACTTTTACTATGAGTACTATTTAGGCAAAGTAAAGATACTTTTACTCAATTACAATTTTTTAGTACTTTTTCCACCTCTGATCTGGTCCCTCTAGAACCTGGAAATGCTTTGTTTTGTTGTATCTCTGTTTGTCCTGCAAAGTAAAGTTCTGTCCACCTCAAGCTGTTTTTTGGCTCTGTTTTTTCCCCCTCCAGTTTCACCCTGTATTCAGCTTAATTTATCTATTTGACTTGACTTCATTGCATCACCTTAGCATTACACTGCCACCACCATGGTTCATAAAGGGGCATATTTTGTCTACATGGTATTTGGCATAAAGGGTAAACGGTTTTAGCTGAGGCATGGCTAACGTATGCATATTCCACCTATCATTGGTGAAGTAATTCAAAGTGCTTTGCAAGATGTCAAAGAAAAGGCTTTAAATATTTGCTTAAAGGAGAGTTCCATGTGACAAGCTCTTAAAAGCATTGCATAAAAGTTTTAAAGAGAAACTTAAAAATAACTTAAAATAAAATCTAGTCCTCAGTTTGAGCTCAGTCTAATGCTTCAGTCAGATCGTTCTACTATCTCAGGTTTCTAAGAAATTTTATCAGATTTATGTCCCTCATCTGATGTGGTGAATTCTTCCACACATCTTCTGTACCTCCTACAGGGCTTGAAGCAATCTTTAAACATTACTTCTTTTTGCTTTCCCCTTTCACTCTCTCTTTCTGTGACAATAACAGTAGATTTGATTTGAATTTCTGCTCCTGCATAAAGTCCAGATTTCTAGAATGATCAGCAGATTGTTGGCCTGTGTACAGGTTCATCCTCTTGGTTAGGTGAAACTAATTAAAATGTATAAATTACCATTTCTAATCTAAAAAAAAAAAAAAAGAACAACCCACAGCGGCTACTTGTTTGATGGAGTCTGGATGTGCAGCTTCTGCAGCCTTCTGTTGTTATCTTTTCCTCTTTCTCTCAGTCATATACTCCAGACTGGAAAGATTAATCCTGCAAAGAAATCAGAGCTTTCTGAAAAGAAGCAGACTTGTTCCATCACTGATTTAAAAAAAAATGCCAGTTAGTTTTAGCATTGTTTTTAAATTCATCCTCAAAGGATCAGGTAATCCTACCAGTCCATACCAGAACCCCTCCTCCACCTTGCTGGTCTGTGAGCCTAAAGGGGAACCTGTAACCTAGTGGCCCCTTCAGAGTCATTCTTTTCTTATGGGTCCATAAAACCATTCGACTTATTAGTCTTAGCAGAGGTTCAGGTTTCAGTCTCCTTTCCTGACCATAACCCTGAACACTGAACATCTTGTTTTTCTAGGTTTTCCTGGTAGGTTGCAATAAAGAGCACTGGAGAAGAAGCAGTTTCAGTTTCATGATTGATTTTTGTATTAAATAAAATTTTCCCTGATTTTACTCAACATATTTTTTGCAAATAAATTGACTTCTTACATCAAAACCTAACATTTATTTTATGTATACAGGTGCTGGTAATAAAATTAGAATATCATGAAAAAGTAGATTGATTTCAGTAATTCCATTTAAAAAGTGAAACTTGTATATTATATTCATACATTACATACAAACTCATATATTTCAGATGTTTATTTTGTTTAATTTTGATGATTACAAATGACAACAAATGAAAATCTCAAATTCATCATATCAGAAAATTAGAATATTACTGAAGACCAATAAAAACAAAGGATTTATAGAAATGTTGGCCAACTGAAAAGTATGAACATGAAAAGTATGAGCATGTACAGCACTCAGTATTTAGTTGGGCCTCCTTTGGCCTGTATTACTGCAGCAATGCGGCGTGGCATGGAGTCGATCAGTCTGTGGCACTGCTCAGGTGTTATGATAGCCCAGGTTGCTCTAATAGTGGCTTTTAGCTCTTCTGAATTGTTGGGTCTGGTGTATTGCATCTTCTTCTTCACAATACCCCATAGATTTTCTATGGGGTTAAGGTCAGGAGAGTTTGCTGGCCAATTAAGAACAGGGATACCATGGTCCTTCAACCAGGTACTGGTAGCTTTGGCACTGTGTGCAGGTGCCAAGTCCTGTTGGAAAATGAAATCTGCATCTCCAAAAAGTTGGTCAGCTGCAGGAAGCATGAAGTGCTCTAAAACTTCCTGGTATGTGGCTGCGTTGACCCTGGACCTCAGAAAACACAATGGACCAACACCAGCAGATGACATGGCACCCCAAACCATCACTGACTGTGGAAACTTTACACTGGACTTCAAGCAACGTGGATGAAGTGCCTCTCTTCTTTTCCTCCAGACTCTGGGACCTTGATTTCCAAAGGAAATGCAAAATTTACTTTCATCAGAGAACATGACTTTGGACCACTCACCAGCAGTCCAGTCCTGTTTCTCTTTAGCCCAGGCAAGACGCTTCTGACGCTGTCTGTGGTTCAAGAGTGGCTTGACACAAGGAATGCGACAGCAGAAACCCATGTCTTTCATACGTCTGTGTGTGGTGGTTCTTGAAGCACTCACTCCAGCTGCAGTCCACTCTTTGTGAATCTCCCCCACATTTTTGAATGGGTTTTGTTTCACAATCCTCTCCAGGGTGCGGTTATCTCTCTTGCTTGTACACTTTTTTCGACCACATCTTTTCCTTCCCTTCGCCTCTCTATTAATGTGCTTGGACACTGAGCTCTGTGAACAGCCAGCCTCTTTAGCGATGACCTTTTGTGTCTTGCCCTCCTTGTGCAAGGTGTCGATGGTCGTCTTTTGGACAACTGTCAAGTCAGCAGTCTTCCCCATGATTGTGTAGCCTATAGAACTAGACTGAAAGACCATTTAAAGGCTTTTGCAGGTGGTTTGAGTTAATTAGCTGATTAGAGTGTGGCACCAGGGGCCATCAATTTTGAACCTTTTCACAATATTCTAATTTTCTGATATGATGAATTTGAGATTTTCATTTGTTGTCATTTGTAATCATCAAAATTAAACAAAATAAACATCTGAAATATATGAGTTTGTATGTAATGTATGAATATAATATACAAGTTTCACTTTTTAAATGGAATTACTGAAATCAATCTACTTTTTCATGATATTCTAATTTTATGACCAGCACCTGTATAAGCCAGTTAAGTGTGCTTCTCTAAAAGACAAGCTTTCAGTCGGTTGAATTCTTTTTTTCTGCCTCTGTTTCCCATTGAATCAATTCTTAATAATTCTGCACATCCTGAACAACTGTAGGTTGTTTTTCTGCTGATGTCCCTTTTCTCCGTCATTACACTTATATGCTTCTTCCAAGAAGAACTTGAGATTAATAAACTGGAGCTGAAATGCTCACTTGCTTTATTAATGTGCACATGGTGGTGCAAAGTTTTATCAGGAAAAACTCATATGTAATATGATTAAAACTTCTGCATCAACAGGTCCATTGATGGTGATAGTGGAATACTGCAAATATGGGAATCTGTCCAACTTCCTGCGAGCCAAGAGAGTTCTTCCTTCCTTACAGGGTATGAAAGCAGCAGCAGCATTCGCAGCATTTTAAATCAACCTTTTCACATTGTTTCTGCTCTCATTGTGGCCCTACCCATTTATGTTATATTCATTTGTGTAATATTTCCACCTCTGCTTTGTTTCCTCTTTCAAGTTCACAGTTATATTGTATGTTAACACACTCAAGTCTGTTAGTATTGATTTTGGAGATGATTCAACAATTTGTGTCCTATTTAGGACCGCTCACCGAAAACTCAGAGCCAGATGAGGCGGATGATCGAAGCCGGTCAGACGGATCAAAGAGCCGGGCAGACTCCTCCGGCGTGCTCCAGCAGTCCTCAGATTACATCATCCAAGGCATCTAATCAGAACCCCCCCGCAGAGAAAAGTGAGTCAGCTTCACATGATCAGAGTTATGAATTATAACACTCTTGGTTCCCAAATCAGTGCAGCTTTGTGATATTTTCTATCCTCCTCTTCTACGTTCAGTGGAGGACCTGTGGAAAACCCCGCTGACAATAGAGGACCTCATATGCTACAGCTTCCAGGTGGCTCGGGGGATGGAGTTCCTGGCCTCCAGAAAGGTTAATGTCACCGCTGTATTGAGGCTGTGTGGGGCAAAGGGAGCAGGTCAGGGCTGGATCTACAGGGGGGCAAAGGGAGAAACTTCCCCCCAGCTGTGGAGCCTAGCCCACCCGCTGCTGCCACCCTATTTTTATGTCATTAAAGGAATAGTACACCCAAAACATGATTAACCTTCATTTTCTACTCACCCCCATGCTGAACAACACTCTGGCGTACTTTTTTGATATCTCAAATGCATCTGGAGATCTGGGAGGCTTCTTGCTGTCTGCTGACATTCAAATAATGGAGGTCCATAGCGCCCGAGGCAGAAAGGTCCATAAAAGTCCACAAAAAACGTGTCAATATTCCTCCATACTGCTCGTCCAATGTATTCCAAGTGTCCTGAGTGGGTAGCATCCAGAATTTACTCGAAAACTAAGTCATTTAGAATGTTTTTAGAGCATAAACAGTAGTGTATAGGATTTCCTGAAAGCGCGCGCCTGCAAGTTCACGACGCTACGGAAGCCGGCAGACCAAACCAGATGAAAGTGCGCATTCAGCTCGGCAAAGAACTCATGCTCTTCCTCAACACTGAAGTCCTCAGACATTTTTCTTTCGTTGTTTCTTTCTTTGCACAGGTAAACAGCACATTTCTTCTTCTACGCTTGCATTATCGGCAGAGCAGATGCTGAATTCGCACTTTCATCTGGTTTGGTCTGCCGCGGTTTCCGTAGCGTCGTGAACTCGCAGGCGCGCGCTTTCAGGAAATCCTATACACTACTGTTTATGCTCTAAAAACATTCTAAAAGACTTCGTTTCGAGTAAATTCTGGATGCTACCCACTCAGGACACTTGGAATACATTGGACGAGCAGTATGGAGGAATATTGACACGTTTTTTGTGGACTTTTATGGACCTTTCTGTCTCGGGCACCATAGACCTCCATTATTTGAATGTCAGCAGACAGCAAGAAGCCTCCCAGATCTCCAGATGCATTTGAGATATCAAAAAAGTACTCCAGAGTGTTGTTCAGCATGGGGGTGAGTAGAAAATGAAGGCTAATCAAGTTTTGGGTGTACTATTCCTTTAAAAACTGGCAATTGTGGGTGGTGCAGTGGTTTGTGCAAACAATCCATGTATGGAGTTCGAATCTGGCCTGTGGTCCTTTCCCAAATGTCTCTCTCCTACCCCCTTTCCTGTCAGCCTTCTGTTCATAGAAATGAGCCACTAGTGCCGTAAAAAGCCACACAAAAAAAACTGTAAATTGTATGTTTTTCCAAATCTCCTCACAGCCTTCAAATTAAACATACATTTTCAACATATAGTTTATACTACATGGTTTAATACAGGGGTGATCAAGTCGAGTCCTCAAGAGCTACCATCCTGTAACTTTTAGATGCCTCTCTTCTCTAACACTCCTGAATCGAAAGGCTCAATCCCCTCATTTAGCCCAGCAGAGGCATGCTAACGTGCCACTCATTTGATTCAGGTGTGTTAAAAACTGGGTGCATCAAAAAGTTGCAGGATAGTAGATTTTGAGGACTGGACTTGATATATAATTCAATATATAAAACTAAGAGCTTCCTGCAGACTGCATGCTGCAAAAGCAACCTTTTGCTGCACCTTGATGCAGCAAAAGGTCCCGCAGCCGCGTGTCATGAGCTTCTAAGCATTTGACGGGCGTGACACGCTTCAGAAGCTGCAGCTGGAGTTGGAAAAATTTTACTTGAAGCTGATCTGGGAGCTGGCAGGGAGACAGACACATCGCTGCTGATGCAGAGCACTATGATCACTCCTCTGAAACTGTTTATTAACGCCTAAATTAACTTATAATGTTGAAACCTGCTGGCAAAATATGTTCAATTTTATTATTCTGATGCCTGCAGTTTGATTACGTACATAAAAAATGCTTTCCAGCTGCCACAAACTGTAGGGAAAGACCACAAAGAGGCAACCGGGCCAGGGACTGCCGTTAAAGGGGATTCCCAACACGCATCAGACCCACTTTTCAGTGCTTAAGCCACGCATCAGAACTAAAATTGTAAAAGCATCAAAAATGATGATCACGTGCGGGTTTTGCTGCTTCTGCTGCATGCAGTCTGAACGTAGCATAATAAATTGGCTGCAATAAGAACAAAATTTCTAAATAGGATGTGTGTGAATGTAATACATCATTTCTGGCTTTATTTTGATATAGACCTCTTGCAAAATGGCCCGAGTGGCCTTTTTTTAATGCTTATACTGTGCGGATAACAATGAAAGGACACTTTTAAGACTCTGGATATTTCTATCACAATGAACATTTCTGTTTGTTCAGTTCAGATAAAGGTTCGCATACTTTAGTGGAGAAACAAGGTTGGAGACTGTTTATCAAAACTGTCCCATGCAGATCGACCTGCTTGCAGAATACTGATGACTGTGTGTTTGTCCATCTGCAGTGCATCCACAGAGATCTGGCAGCTCGAAACATTCTTCTGTCAGAGAACAACGTGGTGAAGATCTGTGACTTCGGCCTGGCCAGAGACATTTACAAAGATCCTGATTACGTCAGGAAAGGCAACGTAAGTCTGTCCCCCTAAATCTCATTCAGCACATGCTGTTTTCTTATCCATCAACTGAAAACGGGAAAATACTCTGTCCGTTTATTAAGCCACCCACGTAATGATTACATTGGAGTGTTTATGCTTCTGTCATGCTTTATCTGCCTCAATGCTCTCGTAGGCTCGTCTGCCTCTGAAGTGGATGGCTCCAGAGAGTATCTTTGACAAAGTGTACACCAGCCAGAGTGACGTTTGGTCTTTTGGAGTCCTCCTCTGGGAAATCTTTTCACTCGGTAATCTCAGAATCAGACCACACTTGAGGCCTGTTGTTTGCATTTATATCAAAAGATACAAAATCCTGCAGGATTTGGCTCGTTTTCCTTCTCTGAAATGTTAATTAATGCCTCCCCTTCCTTTTTGTGCCTGCAGGCGCGTCTCCGTACCCAGGAGTGCAGATTGATGAAGATTTCTGTAAACGGTTGAAAGATGGCGTAAGAATGAGGGCACCAGAGACAGCTTCTCCTGAAATGTAAGTATGTCTTCCTCATATAGAGCAGAGAAATGTCTTTCTTTCTCTTTCAAGTAGGATTTATGAGTGTAAATCCCTCTCATTCATCACGCCAGTTTTAGGAGCCAAGTGTCATTCAGCTGATACACTGACAAATCAATCAGGATTCAGTTTGTTAGGTTCAATTAGAAAATTATGTGCTAGTGATGTGATTGTGCTGTCCTCTGCTGGCAGATATGGCATCATGCTGGCCTGCTGGCAGGGCGAGCCCAAAGAGAGGCCGACGTTTCCTGCTCTTGTTCAAATCCTGGGAGACCTCCTGCAAGACAACAATCTACCTGTGAGTTTTCCTGGAGCTGCAGCAACCACAGTGTTTTTTTAATGTGATACACAGAGTTCCCCTCTGTTAAAGTTCCTCTTCTTCCTCTCAGGATGGGAAGGATTACATCCCCCTCAACAACTCGCAGAACTCAGAGGATGATGGGTTCTCACAGACCACATCACGTCCTACATCAGAGGAGGAGCTGAGACTGGCTTTCAGCACGCTGCCCACAAGGTATTGCTGCATCGTCGTCTTCTCTCTTGAGCAGCATGAATATTTCGCCATTTAGGTGACAAAGGGCTTCTATTTAAATGGTTATTTACAATCATTTATTGTTATTTACTGAGTTGCATTTTATTGACAAAGTGGGGTCTCTTTATCAAGAAATGTTTTTAAGAAGAAAATAAAAGTTTAGAATAGAGAATATCAAATAAAAGTGGAATTTAAGTGCCAGACAGAAATCTAACGAGAAAATGACTGGGGAATTAAAAACTGCTGAACTTTCTGATAATTCATAAATGGAAAATAGATCATAAATATCAAATGCTGATGGTCTTATACTAATAGTTTAATCTTCTACTATCACTTACTGAAAATTGCAATTTTATTTCTGTTTCTATAATTATCTATTTAGTCATATTAAATCACAAAAACCTGACCTGGTGCCAAAGTGAAGTAGAAAAATCAGTTTTTGTCTGTTGATGTTACTCGTCATGGTGGCATCACTGGCAATTTGTGTAAATCTGACAACATATTTTATCTTGTTGCTAATAATTAAATTATGGATATCCACAACAATGTGTTAAACCTTTAAGTATGCAACAGTAATATTGTCTTTTGTTGTATTATTACAGTTCCTGGCTCAAGATAACAATAACTACTAGAATACTTTGTTCAAGATAAAAGGTGCAGACCATTTTAAACCTTTTTAACACGATGGACCCCCCCAGTGGGGACATTAGAGACAGGTATTTAAATTCCACCTCTAAATTAGGTGAAACGTTAATGCTTCTTTCATTTCCTCACTAGAGGAGGATTTATTTTTCGCCAAATGAGTTTTTCTCAAATATTTAGTTTTAGAGAAACCTTAAAATGTGAGCACTCTTGCAGATCCTGTGCACAAGACTAACTCAGTAAAACAAACTCTACGAAGGACACCCATCTTCGTACTCAGCCACGTTGTTTCTGCTATCACATAAAACTAGAGACGATATACAGCGAATCCTTACATAACACTTTCTGTAGAAGTGGTATCTGTGCGTATCGGAGCTTTTATGATTTCCAGTCCCTGGCCATTGCAACTGAGCTATAGCAACAACAAGAAACTAATGATGAGTCATGGTACATTTTGATGATACACGGGTTAAATGTCAGAACCACAAACTCTCCCACAAACAAGATAAGTCTCATAATGGATATCAGCATTTTTATTTGATCATTTCCTTTTATGAAGGGAAAAATACATTTGAAAGTCTTTTGGCACACTTCACTAAATTGTGCCAGAGTGTTTGTACTCTGCATGGCACACTGCCAACTAAACATTTTGTGAGACAAATATGCTTTAACTGATTCAGCAGCTTTGGTGAAGTTATTGTCAAGATGTCGATGTATAAAACCTTAGGCATCTCTCGAATATTTAAAAGGATTTTGACAGGGTTTTGCAATATTTATTTTAAATTTTGGGGGGGATCGAGGCTCAAATAATTAGATTTTTTTTTTCGCCAAATGGAAATGAGGTTTAATAACTGCTGAAAAGTTGTTTTTTAAAATATCCCTTTGATCTCATATTTCTGTTCTGAGGATGTTTGTATTCACCGTATTTTCGCGACTATAAGGCACATATAAATGTCTTTTTTTTCCCTCAAAATGTGCGGCGCGCCCTATAGTGCGGTGTGCCCTATGTGTGTTGTTATTGCGGACGTTTGAGACCACCATGAGAACGTTAAAGGGGGAAGTGTGGGCGTGGATTGTGTATAAAAGAATAGGTATGTGCTTTATGCAGAACTCCTCATCTCCTCATTGAGGAGATGAAGAAAGAGTGGCTGAGGGAGGTGTATGTAAGGAGACCAGGTGGTTTTTTCCACGCATCACCATCGCTGTTAATCTGTGACTCCATGCGTGCCCATCTCATAGCCGATGTGAAAAACATGGTGAAACAATGTTATTCCAGGAGGTCTGACAAAGGAACTTCAACCGCTCGACATCGGTGTGAACCGGCCGTTCAAATTAATGCTACGTTCACACGTCTGCTGCTTAATTGTTGCTGCTTGTACCAGTTAGCTCTGACGCGCAGCTGAAGCAGCTTTGCTGCTCTGGCTGCGCGGTGCAAAAGTGTGTCTGACTCGCGTTGGGCGGAGCTACTCTATCCTTTCTTTGCCTTGAAGCTATATTTGCTGTGATCAGTGGGAATAAAGTAGTTTTAATATGTTTTTAAGTGAGAAAATCCACCTGAAAACTTCATCAGTGCAGTCAGTTCATCCAGATTACCATCCTGCCTTCTAATATTTTTTCTGTCAGAGCCGCTCAGACCCCCACATACCAGCGGTGCGCTGTCAGTAGAAATCCCATTCAACAGCAGCCTCTGGCCGGGTCGCCTCCTCGCGGTTCACCGCGGCAGCTGATAGGTGTTTTTCATCTAAATAATATAAACTGCAGTCACCAGGATAATAAAAGCGAACATATTCTGCCGGTAGATGTATGCATTTTAAGTTAATTTATGCGTCAACAAACTTTCAGAGGAGTGATCACAGCGCTCTGTGTCATCAGCGATGTGTCTGTCTCACGGCCAGCTCCCAGGTTTGATTAATACTTTGTAATAAATACATGAATAAAGCACAATCATACTCAGTTTTGCTCACGCTCTATTTTTAAATACGCAGTAGAGGTATTTAAACGTAGTAGAGGATATGTACCGTTATATAAAACCTGCGCCCTATAGTCCGGTGCGCCTTATGTGTGTGTTAAATACAGTAATGTCACACATAACTGAGACTGCGCCTTTTAGTACGGTGCGCCTTATGGTCGTGAAAATACGGTATTAAAAGATAAATTAATGATATAGATTAGAAGAGGCTTTTTTTTATATAGCGTGTTCCTGACAAGTAAAAAGGTTAAAAGGTCTGATGACCTGAAACTATATAGCTCTGTTTTTATCCTTTAATGTTATAATGAAAACTAAATGTAAAAGTATAAAAAAACTATTAGAGCGTAAACACAATTACAATGGATTATCAATATTGCGATAAATTCATTATTTTTTAACCCTGTGATCTTTTGTCAGGCCTCAGGTAAAAACTGCTTTTGCTTCTTCTCTAAACCCTGAACAGGTATTATAACTGTGTCCCCTTTGCCGGCTGCATGTTTGTTGGGCCCTCTAAAATATGCCACCCCAGAGTGAAGACATTTGAAGATTTGCCCCTGGGGATGCATTCACAAAAGCCTCCACAAGTAAGCTCTTTTATTCTATTTATACTCGTTAATAGAGCATGGCGACGTTTTTATTTCTGCCTTATAAATATACCTGATTTATATTCCTTCAAACTGTGTCACATTCCCAGGATAACCAGACCGACAGCGGGATGGTTCTGGCCTCTGAAGAATTTGAGAGAATTGAGCACAACCACCGGGGCGCTGTGTTAAAAAGGTTTGTCACGCAAAAACTATGCATCAGAGAACGGAAATGCAGGAAACTATACAGCCGATTATTTAGTGACATAGTTTGACATTTTGGGGTGATGCATGCGCATTGCTCACCCAAAGGACTCCATTTCAAAGCAATGAGCAAACAAATGCTCCACATGTTTCAGTCAACATCAGAGAACATTCATTCTTGGCTGGAAAATGTTGAGGAGTCACACGCTGTTCTATGTGTAGCGAAACCAACTTTGAGGGGGAAATATGCATGAGCTGACTCTCAATCTGCATGTGGAAGCAGAACATCACAACAGGATGACTCATTTAGACCCAAGGACCCATTTTTAGTCTTGTTTTGAGAAGTAGTTTCTCAAAAATGTTTGAGAATCTACGTCAGCTACAAGTACAAATAAGAAGGTTTATCCAGCTACTGTATCAGGAATAGATGAGGATCTGAAAACCGCTTTAGTACTAAAACTGATAACAAAATTGTGCAGATAATGTACTCAGTCTTTGTGAAACTCTCCACGAAGGTCACATTCTCACCTACATTTACTCTGAGAGTCTCCTAAGTATAAAATCATCCTTTCTATCCAAAGTCTACAGGGAAATCTAAAGCAATATATATGTTAAAATAAAAAGCTAAAGGATTTTATTAAATGGGCTTTGGCAAACCAGAACACTTTTAGTTGTGAATGTACAGTTCAACCAGGTTTATGCTCACACATATGGAGTGAATTTTGTATTATTGTTGTTTGCCGAAAAGAACGGGAAAAAGAACATGCTTTCAAAATTTTAATTTGAAAACAAAAAACAAACAAACAAAAAAAAACTTGTTTTGTAAATGGAAATTTAAAAACGGAAAGCAATTCAGAAAGGAAATAAAAGAAAAATTAAACACTAAATAAAGGTTATGTAACTGTGGTATTCTCAGGTTTCATTTTTCAAAAAAAAAAGTTTTACAACTGTTTTTTACATTTTATATTTAAAAAATACACTTTTTTCAAACTTATATTTTTCAGATTGAGTTTAACAAGAAGCTTTCTTTTCAAATTGTTTTACAGATCACATTCTCTTCTCCCTCTTGACCAATAAAAAAATTGTTTTCGTAAAAAAGGAGTTTTTATTTTCCTCTTCACTGTCACTTTATGCATGTTCTGTGTCAGGGATTGCTGTTTACAACAAAATGCAAAATAATGGCGCCACATGTTTAACCAGGAGTCCTGCAAGGCAATAACTCAATGCAAGCAGCTGGCTTTCCTTAGATATAAACTTTATGCAGGAACCCCACATTCATATCTTCAGGTAACACAGAGTACATTTCAGACTTAAGCGATAGTTTCAAGGTGTTGCTTTATTGTATATCTCCTACCATGTCTTTCGGCTGTGCTGTTCTTTTTTCATCTCTTACAGGTGATGAAGCAGACTGAAAATGTTTTGTCATTATCTCCTTTCTATCTCTTCTTTCTTTCATATTTTCTCTTTTTTTTTCTTTTTTCCTTTTCTTCTTCTGTTTTTCTGCTCTATTTACATTGCAGTGTCCATATAAACTGTAAAACTCCCTGCATAATTATAATAAAGCAATTTATATGCATGAAACAAGTGTAGCAGTATGGCAATTACCATACTGCTCCACTTGTGAAAGTAAAATCTGTTGGGCTCTTTTTGGCATCAAGACAATTATTCTTATTGCCACATTGCCAGACAGGACACTGTTAAAAAAAATAAAAAAAATATAATCTTTTTACCAGTCTGACTCTATGAGTTGGTTGAATCGTCTCCATAAAGAGGCTTGAGATGAGACGTGTTATAGAAATAAATTTGATTGGATTAAAATTTCATGCAGACTGATAGAAATGCGTCTTTGCTCCTCGCTTTAGAAGAAAGCTCACCCTGAGAAGTAAGGAGAATGGGATTTGTAAGACGCAATTTGAAAAAAAGAATTATTTTATTTATATATAAAATAATTTGAAGAGTGTCCTACTTCAAAAAAGGTTTTGAGAGTAACTTTACTCTTTTCTTAGATTTTGTCTTTTCAAAATTTAATTTGTGGATTGCATTTTTTTTTTTGTGGGATTTCCATCTACAAAATAAATAACGGGAGAAATTTCGCTCCATACTAACATGGATTTAGCAAAGTGGGTTACTAAAATTATGAGTTTTAAAGACTTTGTTAACCATGGAAAGGGGTTGAACACAAACAAATTCCCCTTTATAAATGCAGCCATCCCAATTTACTATAATTGTGTGTTCTCAATAAAATCTCCCCTAAACACATTGAAGTTTGTGGGTTTAACACCAAAGTATGGGTGGAGTATAATTATATAATTATAAATCTGATTATATAATGGAACTGAATTTGTGGTTTTATTTTTAAAAGAAAGTGATTCAATTAAGTGATTAAGACTTGAATTCATTAGCTGAGGAATACCTTCCTAAAAGTAAAGTCTGACTTTTCTCGCCCTGTCCTCAGTCGTATGAGCAGCACCAGCAGCACGGAGCCCCTCACAGCCTCCCACTGTCCCACTGGTCAGAACACCAGCAGCTCCGGACATCGTCCCAACTTCTTCAGCCAGCTGACAGGACAGACCTTCTACAACAACGAGTACGGCCACCTGTCCGAGGAGGGCTTCTGTGACTTCTACTCATCGCCAGGGACCCCTTCCTTGGCCTCCTCAAACGTGTAAACCAAAGAAAATGAGTGAAGAGCAGTGATGTTGGTGGTCTGAGGGAGGAATGTGAAATTATACTCATGTCTCATTATCAAAAGGATTGAAGAGCTTCTGAGCAGAGCTGGCTTTTTCTCATCTCACTGTTCCTCCTCAGCAAATGGACTTAACTGATGTGCCTGGATTTCCTTTAACCAGCCACTGGGTGGCAGTATTACAACAATAATGAATCAAAATCGTTTTCTTTACATACATTTATATTTTTATCTTTTATATAAAATTTTCTTGCCTAATTTTTTACACCTTTTGTCTTATTTAGGAGAAAATAAATAAACTTTATCCTTTGTTTGTCTCATTTATGTAATATTTAACGATGCATCTGCTAATTCCACTAAATCCAGGGTGTTTTAGGCCTGTTTATCAATTGGAGCCACTGAACCATTTGGTGAAACGTATATAATTATGCCATTTGATTGGTCACATTTGGCTACTCGCCTCCAGTAACGGGCCAAGTGACGAAGGTAAACAGAGGGATGAAGGGCGATGAAAGGAGTGAGTCACACTGAACACCTCTTATCAGAGGTGGACGCAAGCATGATGATAGCTGTGAGAGCTTAAAGCCGCCTTACAGCCTCCCATCACCCTGTGACGAGCTGCAGGGTGTTGGCGCTGGGTGCCAGCTGAGGGAAAATAAGGGTGCAAAGTCCACCTCTGAGTCATGTTTAAACGTTTATAGAAGAAAAAAAATAAATACTTAAGGTTCCATTTTCAGTTTCAATGAATAATAGATAAAGGTGAAGTCTTTGTAATACACGGCAGGTGTCATGGTGTGAGTACAGAGCTCAGTAAATTAGAATACCACCCACAGTCTGATGAAGTTCATGGTTAGATATGAGTTTCAAAATGAAAAATGTTACATAAGAGCAGTTCAACAGGATTTTTAAAGGGTTCCGCCGCAGAATGGCATTCAAACTTAACCTCTGCTGAGGTTGTTTATAGAGGCCCTCAACCTGTTTGCATGGTTGGGTCTGTGTCTCCATAAAGCTGTGCTCCTTTGGCCCTGATTGGATGCATCTGAATTGGCTTAAATCCAAGAAAGTGGCATTTCTACCCCAGGCCCTGGTTGTCTATGATTGCTCTTAAAACTGCAGCCTACTCCTTGGATAGGCTATTGCATGTACACCTTTTTGACCAGATTTTCCTTCCACTAAACTTTCCATTACGATCCAGGTACCCTAAACAGCTTGCCTCTTTGGGCCTTTTTTTTTTTGCCAGCCCTATTTAAATGTTCCCACTTAACTAGATGGCAGTTGCCACCAAAAATATCAACCCTTTCACTGTGTATTATCAGACACTTTTTGAATAGAATAGGAGATAACCTTACAATAATAATCCAATGTATGGGATTTAGAGGTGTGCCTGCGAATAGACTTAATTTCTGAATCATGTTAAGGCTTGTTAGCCTTTCAGGAATGGTTCATAAATGGAAATGATACGGAATGTTGTGCGGTAAACTCTCTATGGCCCCTTGGCGGGAAACAGACACCATGATAAACGTCTGTATGGCTTAGAAAGCAGAAAAACAGGCTCTGTGTTATCATGGTGCTACATCTTTTAAATCATAAAAACCTCTTAGATTTTTTGTATTGAAGCCAAACGACACTTCCTTAATACAACCATGGTTTTACGGAGTAATGATGAGCCACACATCTGTCTGAATAGTCGTAAAGAATGTTGAATTATTGAATGTATGGAGTTTAAGCACCAAAGTAGAAAACCTTAGAGAAAATATGAGCCATTTAAACAAAACAAAACAAGTACACACTATTAAGTTTCTGGCACGTCTTTCCTCGACATGAATCCCAGTTGTAAGAAGAGATGTCCTCTCCTGACACCGATGACGGTGTTAGAAGACATGTGATCATCAGGATCCCGACGTCAGAAGCAGAGTAGATGGAGCTGGAGAGGATCCTCAGTAACAGAGACAGCCTGGTAGTTAAATCATATGCTTCTCATTGGTCTCTGGCTTGTTTTCAATCAGAAGTGGATTTAGCTAACAGGCTAGCAACTTTGCACTTATAAATAAAATAAGCACGGGGTTGAGAGGCGACCCTCATGACATCTTTCCAATCTGGATCTTCTTCCAGGCTTCGGAGGCAGTAAATATACACGAGTCGATGATCCCGGCGACGGTGAACGTCCCTCCGACGATGGCACAAATCTGCAAAAAAAACATCACTCTGTCAAGACCAAAGGTTGAGAGTTTCAAGGATTTTTTTTTTCAGCATCATTTTGCACAGATTCCACAGGTTCCGATTACATTTAGTCATGAAGCATTACGCTCACACCAAAGAATGAGCCATAAACTGGCAAAAAGCCGCTGGACTCACAATCCTTGGCAATGACTAGTGATAACACTGCGAGCACGCTAGTCTAAAACAAAGCTGCAGCCGGAGAAACGAAAACAGCAGAACAGGGAATCCAGACTCTAAGATATCAACCAGCAGGAAATGTTTCCAAAGGGCTGAAGGTGAGAAGCAGGGGAGGAAAACTAAACGGGTTTGGTGAAGGTATTCAGGTTATAGCACAGAGAAAACAAGACTCATGTCAAAATTCTAGAAACTGAAACACCCAAGAGCCAGGAGGATTATCACCAAGAGAACCACAAAAACATATCTACATAATTTAATTCCCTTTTAAGGTGAAAATAACATCTATGAAACTTGAGTCTTAAAAAACAGAAAAACAGATAACTAAAATACAGAATACTGTGACATAGCCCTGAGAGCAGGAGCAGCTCTCAAGGACCATAATTCATCTTAATCTCACTTCTAGTCCCAGGTGTGGCCCTCTGATTTACCAGTTCATACGGGGAGGCAAATACATATATGGCAAAATGACTAAACCTTGAAAGAAGAAAAAATGTGTAATCTGCAACACAGTATTTTAACCTTTTCTGCCATTTTTTGCTTTTAATTTAATTTAACTCCAAACAAACATCCAGTGAATCCATCCAGTGAATCCAATAAGAGCAACGGAGTGCGTGACGTATGTTAAGCGATGGATAGTTGTTGCCAACAAAAATCAAAGCGTGCAGTTGCACGCCTAGAATAAGAAGATGAGCCTTGATCCTGTTTCTCTGTTCCTCTTTTAAAATTAATTTGCTGTCGATATCTTCTAGAACAGACCTAATAGCACAATCTACACCTCAACTCTCCAGCGGCAGCCATTGTTGTTGTCACCCAAGCACGCTTTGTTGACGTGGTTGATTACGTTACTGTTGATCATCTGTCCATCATCGTATAAAGCCCTCCCTGACCATTTGATTGGCCAGCCAGATATTGGGCAAGCATACTCGCGCTACTATTGAGCAATGCCAGACCGAACTTCCCGACCTCAAACGTTGTGGGCGGGACTAAGTTCAGAATGGCACCCAGGCTAGATGCTTAGTGCTGGAATAACAAAAATATCTAAAAAATAATTACAGCTGTTGCTGTTTTTTTCTATACTTTTATACATTAAATCTAAAATAATTGTAAGATGTAAGAAAAAAAAACTAAATTCTGTTAAACATCGCTATATTTTTTAAATGATAATCTATCAATTCAAAATCACAATATTGGGATTTATAGTTACATGATATCAATTAAAACTTCTAAATGAAATGTATTAGATGAATGAATGAATTCTGTTTTCTACAGAAGTCAGACAACTGTGCCCGTGGAGAGGATATTATTTTTGCATTTTAATTTAATAAAAAAGAAAACCTCCTCATAGCGCTTCATGCTAATCTTTTTTGGCCGCCCCACAGTAAAAACTTCAGGCAACACTGCGTTTAAGGTTTGATGCTTTCTAATTTCTTTCCAGCATTACTTGATGTAGGTTTTGAACGAGGCACCATCCTGACTCCTGTCGTTTGTTTAACTGACCTCAGAGTCACCTTCTCAGAAGTCCCTTTATACCAGTTAATAGTATAACAGTTATTGGAATCCCCCCATTTCTGGTATAAAAGCATGCTTGGTTTTCCAGAAGGTTGGGAGGTTTTCTCCTAAACTATCAGAAAGCATTTTAGCTGATGTGCTCCTAAAAACCGACTAATTTAAAGCAAACACTTTGGTGTCCATGCAAAAACCCGATTACCTGATGGTACTATAACAGCTAGGTAATGCAATGCAGCCCCTCCCCAACATGTTGCTGGCAAGTTCCTGACTTATTACACTTCTTCCAGCTTTCAAAGAAGATGAAATTGAAATATTTTAGAAAACTTGGAAAAGAAGCAGTTCCCTGAAGGAATAATCCCAAGGGATTAATAAAGTTGAGTCTAAGTCTATAACAAATATAAAACAGCCATTAGAAGTGGCGGCCTGGTGGTTAGGGCAAAAAGCTTGGAATCCAGAGGTTATGAGTTTGAGCCCCACTCCCACAGACTGCCACTCTGGGTCATTGACGAAGACCCTTAACCCCCACACTGCTCCACGGGCGCCACACAATGGCAGCCCACTGATCCCCAAGGAGAAGGGTCAAATGCAGAGAGTTCATTCCGTTGCTCTGTACTTGTGACAGTCTAATGACAAAAGCTGGGGGAAAAAAGAACTGTATATCAAATATTTGTTTTTCTTTTAAAAATAAAATTACTGTGATGATATTTTATGTTTTTGTTCTATAAAAACCTAAACCCTAACCTCTAACTTTAGAAAAAAAAAACAGTTTGAGACAAATGCTCCTAGCTCTCATATTCTATTACCCTAAAACCTACATATAAAGATTTAGATGTCGTTTATTTCAATATTTCACCCTTTCATATAAAAGACCAGATCTGATAACATTTGGAGTCTTTGACCTTTAAAGACAGGGGGGGAAAAATACAGGAAATGGAGCCATGTACAGAAATATTCTCACTGACCGTCGTGATGAAGCGATAGAAAGGCTGCCTCCTCTCTGTGTACTTGACTGTGATTGGACTGAGGTCGTATCGGAACCAGATCGCAGGAATTATTCTGCCCGTGTGACTGTAGGCAACATACTCCTGCGTAGAAACAGAGATAAAAGCGGGAGACCTTTACGGAGATCTGCAGCAACATCAGAGAAAAAGAAGAAATTTAATTAAAGGCGAAAAAGTTAATCAGTTCAGAAAATCAGTTCTGAGGAATTTAATCAATTTTCTTTCTTTGTAGTAAAGAAGGCAGTGCGTCATAGGAAAAAAAATAATCAAAAACTAGTCATTAAAGCTGGAACTATTAAACTTAACTAGAAGAAGCTGCAGTGTGTTCAGTTAGTGATGACACAGCTTTAATCAACTTAGATTAAACTTCATCTGTTTATTGGCCCACTCTATAAATACAATCATATCAGCATGTTTGGCAGGACAAAGAATCCTTCTGTCTCTGTTGACGTTCCACCAGGACCCTCATTTCCCTGTTTCACAGTCGCCCGGCAATGTTGTCAGTCTATACTCTGAAGCCAGTTTTCAGTTAACACAGTTCTAGGAAGTGCGTTTATGGGTTTGTTGACATTTTGGGAGTGTTTCCATTCACTATAGGTTACCCTTCTCTTCTAAGTGAAGCCGGAAGCTAAATGCAGCATCACACCCTTAGCTGGTGGATTCATGGAATAACTCACCTTCTTTATGATTTTTAACTTAATATTTAGATACATTTCATTTAAAATGTGTTTAATGATGTTTAAAAATAAAGGGTAGTGACAGCATTATGATGCGGGGAGGCTTTCTTTAACGTACCCTGATCTAAAGCGACAAAAGCAGCTGATTATTGTAAAATATAATATAATATATGCAATATAACTTCTGCTAAGGCCGAAAAAACAACAAAGACAATACAAAACCTTGTTTGCCACTGTATACTGGTAGGAAAACCTCTGTCTGCCTGTTAGGTCTTCATACACAGTCGGTACAATCTTCAGGATGTAGTCGTGTGAGGCCAGCGCTGCAACAGAAGGTGTTTGAGCGTTAAAATTAGAAAGCCCTTTTTTATCGTTCTAATACTGACGTAAATGGATGAAATATGACAGTTTTTTATAGTTTTTATGTGTCAGGAATGTGATTCAAGTTTTCCCACTGCTAGGTGCTGATTTCATTGCCTCATATCCAGGCTGTTTGAATACTTACGGTTAGATGACAGCCGGTTTGCCCCTCCTAGAGCATTGAAGGCTCCTTGGACCTTTTGTACCTGGATCACAATACAGACAAGAGTTCCCGCTTTTAGTAATTCTGTTAATCCCCTTAAATTGGCTGTGTTTGTGTGCATGTCCTAACTTGTAGCTTTTCTCCAAAGGCCAGCTTGTGGATGGTGTGAGTCATGTCAGGGTTTTGGGGCTGCGCTGTAGCGCTGTGTGTTGACACATGGAAGTTCCCCGGTACCTGCAGACCAAACACACACAGCTGCTAAAACGGTGTCTGTTACACAGTAGGTTTGTAACCAATGTTTAAAATGGATGCAGTTTGGTTGGAAACCGAATGTCTTTTCCACTTCACTTTTTTTTCCTAAAAAAAAGTTATGTTAAACATGCAAGCTGCTAGGTTAATAACTTTAAAGGTGGCGGAAGGACTGACGCAGGTGGTGAGGTTGGAGCAAGCGGAGCTGACGATCTTAGACGACATGCTACACATGGACGTAAATAAATCCCAGGGATCATTTCTCAGTTTAGACAGAAGAAGGAAGGGAGAAAGGGGGGGCAGGAACTCCACTGATTCACTAAAACCCAACAAAGTTTTTTTTTCCTTTCTGTGAGTGGGTAACATCTTAATATTTATACCGAGAATCATTATGCGACATCCAGGTTTTTTTTTAGAGCTTTTGCTATCAGGATGGGAACCTTTAGAGTTTTGGATCAAAACATCATAATATTAAATAATTCAAATTCAAACAAAAGTTTGTTTTACTTACAACCATTTACACACCATGCTAGCACGGTTCCCGCCTCCTAGTGACGATTTACACTACTATTTCTCTCTAGAGGTAAACAAGAAAATCAACATGGCGGCCCCCGTAACATTCAGGAAGTTTGTGGAGAGTCAGGCAAAGAAGGCAGCCTTTGGTGAATTTATTTGACAGAGTCGGGTTTTTGGAAAGTGGATACGACAAACGATAGTCTAAACAGGGCTTACAGATGCAGGAAACGAGGCAGAGGCTGACTGTACGGAGATGACGCGGTCTGCTCATACGCTCTTTGTTATCTGAGAACCAAGCCAGAACTGAACCCGGCCGAGCCCTACTGAGAAACTAGTACCATGTTAGTGCGGTTTGGTTGTAGGTGCTATTTACACTCCACGGTTATCTCAGTTACCATGCTCGGACTAATCTCGACAGTTTCAAAGGGGTAGTGTAAATGGGGCTTATATTTCTATTCCTATTACTCTGTTATCTGGACACCTTTCCACAGTGAGCTACACGGATGTGCTGTTTGTGTGACTGAAAACTTGAAATATTTCTTTTATCCATTGTCTTCAAGTTATCAATGTTTGCTTCTTCGTTGCATTGTTGATTAATTTTCTTCTGAGCATATTCACATCTGTCTACTACTTGGGCCCTGTTTGTTTGGTCAAATTGCCAAAAACAGGGGGACGAATCACCCGAACTACACAGGTAAGGTGAGAAAGCATTCTGAGCTCAGACATTAGCAGCGGGAAATCAGTGTGAGAACAGTGGGAAAGAGAGCACCATAACCGGGACAAGAGGACCAGCTGTGCCGCTGTCTAGAGCTCAGTAAGCACTGCGGTAGATTGGAGGAGCATGTTGGGCAGAGGGATATAAGGCGGCTCAAGACGAGAGCGGAGGAGCAAAGCAGAGATTCGGATTAGTCCACCAGGGAAACAGCGCCAGGCTGGGGAGAGGCTACAGCTTACTGAGGCTAGCTAGGCTAACTGCCGATGATCCAAGGAGCACCTCAGAAGATTGGATAAGTCTGCCGGGGAACAGAACGCTGAGGGTGTGGGAGAGGCTAGTGCTGAATGGGAGTTGGACGGCAGTACTTTTGAGAAGCCTGTCAGGGAGAATTAGCAGCAAGAGGCTACGGCTAGCCAGGCTAACCTCTACACGTTAACTGCTGAAGGTGAAAGAATGACAGGGGGATCAGAGGAGCCTGTGGGCACACAGCGCAGCAGAGCGGGGAGAGAAGGCAACTGCTGGTCGGTGTCAACGCTGGAGGTAGGACCATGAAACATTCATTCTATGGCTGAATTAAAGCAGCTTTCTAAAAAAGCCACCCACAAACCTCCTAAGAGAATTCCCGCAACGTCCTTTGTCAATGTTGTTTTCCTCTATCTTCCATTTCGATAAAAAAAAAAGCTCGTCTCTGCTGCCTCCTCCACTAAAACGGTGTTTAGTTCATGATTTTGATACCTAATAATGCCATGTCAATGTAATTTATGGATTTGGTGCTGCGATCGGTAGATAATGACTTTTCCGATCGGAGATTGCCAATCAGCTCTCAAAATCCAGACCGGTTCACGTCTAATTGCTTCTAAGATAAGCTGAACATCCAAAGGATCCCCTCATGTTATCAGTTTTCAGTATCTGGGATCTCACACCAACTTTTGGTGTTTCAGCCATGCCAAGAACAAACTGGGGCTATTTTACTGGGGTGAATTTCTAACAAGCTTTTTTAATTCCTAAAATGAAAAATACATTGATGAAAAAAGATTTACTTTAAGGATTTCTTGGAACTAATCAATGCTTACTTTGTTAACAGTGAACTCTCCCTCAAAGCGGCAACCCTCTCCCTGGTTCAGAGGTATCTTCATAGAGTTGTCTATGTGACCGACCTCATGGCGTCCCATTTCATCCTGGATGTCCAAACCCACCACTGGAAGAAAAAAAAAGACAGCATACATGGGGAGGTAATTCACACCTAGTTAATATATAATTACATCGGTTTAAACTTGTTTGTTTTGAAGTATATTAAAAATATGAGGCAACAAAAAGGGACAGATTTGTTTTGTGATGACAGGAACTCTTAGCTGCTTTAGTTATGGTGAAAACTAATCACGCCTTTACCCATGTGCTTACACAGAGAGTTGTCAAAACAAACCTGTTTTATATTGTCAACAAGTTTAAACTCTGCAGCAAAACTAGAAACAAAATGTGTTTAATTTTTTTGGGGGGTGAAGGCTTCGTCGTGGAGATGAAACTGGTTCAAACTGGTACTAGATTAGACTTTATCATCATTAACAGAGAATAAAGGGAAAATACGCAGGAATGACTGCAGCCTGTGACCCACAGTCAATACACAAAGTCCAAAAAATCCTCACCATCACCCACTCTCTCTTTCTGTGATTTTCCACCCCCCTCCCCCCATGCGGGCTCCTGTGTGTTGGCACACGGGCAGTGGCCTAATTTTCAAAGCCAGCGAGGCGTGTTGAATCTGGGCTCCACACGTCGCCACTGTTGACTTCTGACATTCAAGACAAGCTACTTCACTCCGTTAATCCAGATCTCTAAATAATGCAGCAGGCAAATATAAGCACAGAGACTCTGTGGGGGAGATATTATGGCCTCCTTTTAAGACGTTCAGGGCTGGAAGGAGGCTGATTTAAAGCCGATCCATCTTTAAATAGGGGCGACTGTTTTTCCATGAAGTCATAAATGAACAAGAAGCAGCCTGGAAAGGTCAGTCGATCGAAGATGTTTAGCTGAGAAAGATGCTTTCCTTAAGTAAGAAAGGAAAAAAAAAAAAATAAAGGTCTTCCATGACGAAATGGGTTTGACTTCTGAGTAAATTAGCAACGGATGACAATCCGGCCTGGAAAGAGGACCGATGAAGTATTAACTCCCAGTCAGAGCTTAAAGTGGACTCGGGGTTTAAAAAACACACATGCATTAATGAGAAAGGTTGATTGGAAACTGCAGCCTTTATCTGGGGAAGCGGGTAGTTAAACTTTCTAAACCGACAGTTTGAGTTTGTAACCCAGAGCCTCTGCAACACAAACCATGATTCAAGCCTTTATCAATGCTGCCATTTTGGGAAAAAAAAGAAAATCTCCAAATGATTGGGAGTTTTCTGCGCCGCTCTGGCTGATTTGTCAGTGTTTGGTGATGAGCATAGTTTCTGAGGGGAGTCATCATGAGCAAATAAGAACTGACTCCTCTGTATCGGCAGGCTTTAGAGCGAGCCAGCAGAGGCAGCTTCAAGTCAGACACAGATCAAAGCAGAGCAGCAGAAACCAGGCTCATCTATGTAGACCTTTACCGTAGATGTTACACAGACACCCTATGGATGTCACTGATTTGGACCCTTAAATGATGCATTCAAGTTCGTTTTCCCAGGATGGAATTTACAGCTTCGTATTTGATTCTTGTTTGGATTAGAGTCATCAAAAGTATAGACACTTTTCTCAAATGCTTTATCTGGATAAAACACTAACTTGGTACCGAAAATTTAAAAAGGCAAATAAAAAGCACAGAGTGCAGAGAAGGAGGATAAACTCATGTTTGTGAAATATTGGGGACCTAATGGTATTTAATGTATATGCATTAAGTGTTTTTAAAATATATTTGCTGCAGCTACTGTTAGATTTCTGCACATTAAAAGAATAATACCTCAAAAAACCTTTAAATATGGAAAAATTGTGTTAGGTTTGTTTCATTTATATGGATACCAATTTGACTGTAACAAGTGATTCTGTTGAGAAATAGTGTAAATAAAATTTTTTGACGCTTTTAATCATTTTTTTCATTTTATCTCCTTATGGTATCAAACAGTACTGAATATTCTCCAGTTTACTATCACTTTTTGCTTTCTCGGTACAAATCTGGTTTGTACGCATTGTTCACACGTTTTCATGAGTTTTAGATCAGGTGGATTACAAAAGATTGCAGGATTCAGGAAACTAACCAGTTGGAAAAAGTGATTTAAAAAATGTAAAGAAGGAAATCCAGCCAAAATTAGGCCAAAACCAGTTAAATGCAGGTCACTAAAGGACATCCAGTCATCTGATTATAATCCCAGTATAACCTTTAAACCAAAACTCTGTTGTGATAAATATACAGAAAGGCAAAGTATCTCATTGTCCAATAAAATGGAAAAAAAATGACCTAAAGCGAACATCATTAACAGTGTAACAGGAGGCGCATACCAGCAGAGAGAGAAATAAAGAGGTGTGTCTTTGTAAATACTCACAATCACAGTGTAAGTTTGGCAAACTGATGTTTAAACTCACATCTATCTTCCCACCACTGTCTTTATCAGGGTCATCCACATACAGTTCATTTACACTACAGCAGACAGAAACAAAGAAAGAAAAGGTTAGAAACTTGGTCAACATAAAAAAATTTATTTTTAACATGATTTTAATACAAAAATGATTCATCTCCGGTTAAGCTACAACAAAAACAACATTTATGAATCTGTATGTGTAATTTCCTTCTTGTCACACCTTCTCTATGTCATCCCATCATTACACACAGCTGACGCAAGCATAGAATAGATTTTCTTTTAGTAACACTGTCTCTGTCGCCTGGCCGTTGGGCTGGGCAAAGGAAATTATACCGAGGGGCTTCAGCGTTCATTATTCCCTCCCTGCGTGCGTCTCAGATCCAGGATGTTCCAAACTTACGTACATTTCGGTGGCTATGAACCCCGTCAGCTCGGACAGGAAGAGGAAGAGTATGAAGACACAGCAGAGGATGGATACTGTGGGGAAAGGAGACAAGCAGGTTTTAAAACATGGCCCCTCTTTAATTCACATTATTCTCAAGTTACCAGTTTGTAAAGGAAAGATGCTAACCCCAAAGAGCCAGACTATATCCAGCTGTTTTTAGCAATGGCTGACCTCAACTATTGACATAAATGAAATCACAGCGGTCATAAATTTTTTTTCCCCCTTAAACAGCGGTTTTACTGCCAGTTTTAGAGCTGCCATTACGCAGGTTTTTAAAGACCATCCTACACTCATTACCCGTTGAATACCAGCACACCAGGCGGCCATTACAGCATCCTTTCTCTGAGAAGGGTGAGCTCACGCTTCTTTGAGGCATTCAAATTGGCTCATTTTACATAAACAAATTCATTCCTGCCAAGACCTAAACAGGGAATATCTACTATTATATAAAATATTACACACAGAAAAAGTTTAAAAGGAGAAAAGCAGCAACTTCATGTCTCAAACTAATGAGTCTAAATTAATTAGGTGGTTTTGTGTTCACTGGGGTGAAAACGCATCAAACGGATCTCTGTCGCTGTGGTCTGTCCGGTCTGGCGGGATTCTCAGTCAGCAGGTGAGGTGAGCTGACGTGGCAACGCGTTTCCTAGGAGCCCACAAGCACATGACCCTGCGGTTGGCAGGGTACTGCAGCCACACCCACCAGCGATGAAGGAGGCTTTGCATAAGGTAATGTTTAACCAGCAAACAGCAGGGAGTGTCGCCATGACACATAGGTCACCAATTCAGGTTCATCAAAACACTTGAAGCAATTCTTCCCCTGGCTTCAAAGGACGACAGCATGTTTCCAGGATTATTGGAGGCTGGAGTAATAATCAGTTACAACCGGTTGTAAACCTGATGGAGGTGGAAACACTGAAAAGTCTGATGATTTACAAAGACCTACCATGACTGGTTTACACTGGAAAGATATTTTTTTCCAAGCTGTGACAAGAAGAGATAATTAAGCAGCACTTATTTGATTGATGTCTTTAATGGATCCTTCCAACAGGATTCTGCTGCAGCTTATATTAGAGCAGGGGAATTTTCTCCAAGTTTGCACAGCTGGTCAAACTCCAGTCACTCAGGTTCTTACTCTTGTTTTCATGCAATGACAGTTTGAAATTTTTGCATTCAAATTATTATTTTTTTTTATGTCAGCAAAAGCAAGAAGCAAGCTGACCAACTATGAACTCAGAGTTCTTTCAAAAGTGCAAACATTATAAATACTCATACGAGCAGTTTTATGCATGTAAACATCTTTCCCCGCACATTTCTTTTTTCCATTTTAATATTTATTACATCCGTCAACAATTAAACATAGAGTGAAACCAGTGACGACAGTGTCAGTACTGTAAAGTGTAAAACATTAAGTGATTGTACAGAGAAGGACTTGAGTTATTAACATTTTCCCCCCTGAACCTCTCCCAACCCTCACCCCACCTCAGCCAAAAAACTAAAGCCAAAGGCAAAAAAAAATTTTAAATCTCACATACTGCATCTTAATTCTGGATCAATAGTGTTTGAGTCTTTCCTCTCTGGTTTTAAAAACGGTTCCCACGTACTGTGATACACGTCAATCTGACCGTTTCTTTTTTGGATGAGTCGTTCGTAAGAGGCGGTCTCTAAAAGTGCTGCGTACCATTCTGTATATTTAGGGGTGTTTTGACCCCTCCAGTGTCTTAATATAAATCGCCTTGTCATGGCTATTTTTAACCATTGTGGTTTTTTTTGTTCCTATCTTGACCTTATAATCTAAGAAGTCCTAATGTAGGTGTCAAAAATAAATTGGAGTTAAGAGTGCTGTTGATTTTTTCCCATAACGGTCTGCTAATAAGAAATCAGGTTCGGACACATGAGGAACATATAAAGCATATCTCCCGGACTTTGTTTACATCGCCAGCAAATATCCGAGTTACTTATTTTTCCCCGCACATTTTTGAATGTAGATTTAATACCATGAGGCCCCCAATACATCCCAACCATGAATTTTTGCTCTTTTTCCGTGCTCTTTTATGTTTTATGCTCCTGTAGATTCTCTCCTCACTCGTCAACCTGTTTCTGTGCACTTTTGTCAACTTTGAGGGTTGAGCAAACCTTCAAAGGTAAACTGCCTGTGATTGGTTATTTTTCAGGAAATTCCACCTCCCTAGACAATACTGTACTTCTTAATTTTGGCAGTATGAACGTTAGCAAAGCATCTTAAGTCTAAAAGTTGTTCTCATCAAGATTTGAATTCTGACTTCATATCCAACAACCATCTCCAACATCAAATTACAATTTTAGAAACAGAATGCTGAACAGTAGCTGCAAATGGAGTACAGAGGTTCCAAATTTAACATAATTTGTTTTAGAGCACTACTTTCATGGATTTTGTTTATTTCATGATGACCTTACTTAAGCTATTTTTACAAAGAGATTGGTTATTAGCCTAAAGATTCTTTGCTAATGTTACTTGTACGCACCTAGGAAAAAAAAACTGTACTGCCAACAATAGGCAGTTTACTATTAGTGTTGCACCGATACCGATACCAGTATCGGACGGGGCCCCGATACTGCCCTAAAATGGTGGTATCGGTGAGTACCAACCAATAGGGCACTGGTACCATTCTGAGATCCAAAAGTTTCTTCAACTATTGTCACCCACTCCTGGTAGGCAATAAAAAGTTCTACTGGATTCACTTTGTTTTAGTCTTTTTCCTGCTTCACAAAGGTAGGCAGCAGCTTGACATGAAGCCATGATGGCAATTATTTTACATTATTATGGTATCGGTATCGGCCGATACTGCACAGCCAGCCAGGTATCGGCGCAACACTATTTACCATCTCAGGTTGGTAAATGCTCAAAGGAAAAAAAATTTACATGAATGCAGAAACAGGTCCACACGTGAGTAAAAAAGAATCTACAGGCAAATAAAAAGCACAGAGTGCAGAGAAAGAGGATGAACTCGTGTTTGTGACATATTGGGGACCTCATGGTATTTAATCTATATGCAAAAAACATTCAAAATATGCCTGGAAAGCATGTCTTTTACATAAACTCCTAATTGTGAATTTAAACAGTTTCGGACTTCATATTTAACAGTTTCCAGCAACAGGTAGGGGAAGAAGAGCTAAAATATAAAATAGAATTGTGATTGGAGATTTTAGCAGTTTGACATTATTACTCTTCTAAAAAACATACGTATTAAACTATAGTACTGATAGCCAACCAGAGCCTGGTCGCATTTCTTCTCTAATCGCTAGTCTAGACTTGCTTACTTCCCAATTACAGCAGAAACGATTAGGCAGAGAAAACAAAATGCACAGAAAAACTAAAAAGAAGCTGACATTTTTTGAACTAAATGCAAATCACAAGAGAACCTGAGGGCTCTGTGTACAAAAAATAAAACACAGGCCAGCCAAAAAATTAGCTGTGGTGTTGTGAATGAAACAATAACAGCTGGCAAACGTGTGTGAGTAAAGAGCCCACACCCTTAGACAGTGGATGGAGACAGGAAGGGAGTCCACTGTCTACAGGAAGGACTTCCAAGCACTTCCTCTCTGTGGTGGAAATAGATGTAAAACTGCTTAATTTCCTCTCTACTCCATCATGAGCCATAATCAGCCCTCAGTTTGCAACATCAGCTCAGTTTAACCGGTTTCATGTTTTTTTATTGGTGAGGGGGAGTGGGCTTTTTTTTTTTTTCTGCTTGCATCAGCTGACTAGCAAAATAAGAAAATAAGAGAGGCGCCAAAAATGTGTCATCGGGTCTAATGAAACCTACTGAGCCATGAATAATCAATGTAATTCTATGAGTTACTGATGACAAGTAAGGAAAAAAACACCTAATCCTCTGCTGACTACTTCCCATGTCCTTCAGGCAATAGAGGTCTGCGATCATTAACATTCTCCACATATTTGGCTGTCTTAAAACATTATTATTTCACGTTTACACATCTCAAAGCATGGTTAAACCTGTGTTTATCAGACAGGTACCAGCTGGCAGCCCCTCCTCTTAACTCTTCTTTGATAGCTCTGTTTTCCAGTTGAACTGAGGTTACCTCTCTTCATTTAATAAAAAGGTCCACTAGCCAAAGTCCAAAGGTGTTCGGAATACTTCCTGTAACGTCAATCCTACGATTATAAAGCTCAGGCTATCAAAGAAAGGTCCTATTTAGAGGCAGTAAATGAAGCTGAAAGCTTAGATATAAAACAATATAAAGCTTTAAATAACTGGGGGTCAATTTCAGAGCTGAAACATTTAAAATAACGTCCACCTCTTTCACTGAGTCTCTCCCTCTCTTTCCTGCACTGTCCTCTTTACAAATTCTCTTGCCGTTAGTCTTTGTAAAGAAAAAATAAAATAAAAAAATAATAATTTTAAGTTTTTGCATGGTTTCCTTTTGGTATTTAAGCCATCAGACATCAGACAGACATCATTTTTCAAAATTGAGTTTCAGGAAACCTTTTAATCTTTTTTCTTCAGATTTTGGCTTCCATTTTCATTTCAGTCCTTGTACTTCATCCTGCCATCATTTGCTGCAGCACATATAAAAAAAAAAAAATTAAAGGAATTAAATGGCCTACAATTACACGAGAGTGTATAAAAGTTATGCTTTTAGGGAAAAGAGAAGTTTAAATCAACGCTTCAACAGAAATTCTAAGAGAATTATCTTCTTGGTGTTAATTGTAGTTATTCTATGTACTGTAACGTTAAGACTGCATACTGAAAGAAAGACAAAAAAAAATATAAACATAAAATAAATGAAACCTTTAAAATATTTAAACCGATAAACTGTCAATATTTAGCTCAGTTTCTTCTATTTTAAATAGAGAATCACTGAATTTGTTTCTTTTCATTTGTAAGTAAATCCAGTAAAATTAGCATATATTGCTTTTCATAAACTATTTTGACCATTTAAAAATGAATTGAAAAGGCATAATCATTAATTTAGTTGTTTCTTGTCCCTATTTTCTGCAATTGATTTCAAACTTAACCGAAGCACTCAGGATTAATCCGTTTCCATCAATAGCAGGAAGTTTTCCTCTCCACACTGTGGCTTATCTAAGCTAGATTGGGTTCAGCGGAGGGGACTTTAACTGATATGACTTCAACCACTGATATCTGACCACAAACCTTCCTGATATGGAGGCCAGTCGGACACCTTTGATGTCTGCACATAAGCAATTAACTGTATTTTACTGACTCTCATTGCCGGCGGTTTGGATACTAGTGCTCATGCGTGGAGTTATTTTGACTACTTTTACATTATTGATTAAAATATCAAGTGTTTTATCAAATGATTGATTAAACTAAAGAGAAATACCTGTAATAAATTAAGATTACTAAATAGGAAAATGCATATATATATATAATTCATATATATATTTATGTAGTTTTGTTTAATTACTGCTGTGAGCAGGTTATTTATTCAGCAAATGCCATGTGTTAGTCTTTGTTTACTAGTGGGTCCTAGAATTTCTAAAAGTAGAATGGGAGGCAGATCCCTTAGTTATTAGACTCCTCTCCTGTGGAACCAACTACCAGTTTTAGTTCATGAGGCAGACACCGTGTTTAGTTTTAAGGCTAGGCTTAAAACTTTCCTCTTTGATAAAGCTTATAGTTAGAGTGGCTCAGGTTATCCTGAGCTATCTCTATAGTTATGCTGCTATAGGCTTAGACTGCTGGAGGACATAGGGACCCCTATTTCATTATTCTGCTTCATTCTATTTCTTTTCTCTCACTCTGTAGAATTTGTTAGTTCAATCTCTAACGTTCTGCTCTCACTGCCTTTTCTCACAGTAGCTTCGACTCGTCTGTTCCTGTTTGGCTGTGACGTCATCCTGGAGAGAAATATCAGCTGTGCTGCTTCCATCAACACCTTTGTTTATAGATGTTGGAGATCGGCCTGTTTTCCAGTGTAGTCCTGTTTCTCTGACTGTGACTGGCTGGATGTGCTCTCTTCATCCTCTGGCATGGGAGCTGGCTCAGAGCTTGTCTGCCTGGCTGTGTGTTTCCTGGACTGGGCATTGTTTTATAGTCACTTTTTGTATCTCTGCTTCTGTCTCCTTGAACCCCAGTCGGCCTCAGCAGATGGCCACTCACACTGAGCCTGGTTCTGGCGTTTTTTTCCTGTTTAAAGGGAGTTTTTTTCCCTCTCCACTGTCGCTACAAGCATGCTTAGTGTGAGGGATTGCCTTCGAGTCAATGAGTCGATGCACTGAACTGGTTTTCCTTAGATATAAAACTTTAACTGTAACTGTAAAGTGCCTTGAGATGACATGCGTTGTGAATTGCGCTATATAAATAAACTGAATATAATTTTTACCATTACTCTGTGTAAATTATACAATCACCACATTTTTTCATCATTACTTCAATAATCTATTAATCCAATCAACCTCAGCTCTAATCTTCAGTGTTGACCCATGACAATATATGATAAAATACAAAAATCTGTGGGGGCATAGTCACTTTGTGAGGTAATGTATGTGATATTATTTAGAAATAAGGGCTAACAATCTGCATCCAATCAACTGAGCTGTTTTGTGAAGAAAGGAATACACCCATTATCAAATCCTTATTCCTTAAACTATTAAAGGAATAGTACACCCAAAACATGATTAGCCTTCATTTTCTACTCACCCCCATGCTGAACAACACTCTGGAGTACTTTTTTTATATCTCAAATGCATCTGGAGATCTGGGAGGCTTCTTGCTGTCTACTGACATTCAAATAATGGAGGTGCCCAGCGCCCGAGGTTTCCGTAGCGTCGTGAACGCGCTTTCAGGAAATCCTATACACTACTGTTTATGCTCTAAAAACATTCTAAATGACTTCGTTTCGAGTAAATTCTGGATGCTACCCACTCAGGACACTTGGAATACATTGGACGAGCAGTATGGAGGAATATTGACACTTTTTTTGTGGACTTTTATGGACCTTTCTGTCTCGGTCACCATAGACCTCCATTATTTGAATGTCAGCAGACAGCAAGAAGCCTCCCAGATCTCCAGATGCATTTGAGATATCAAAAAAGTACTCCAGAGTGTTGTTCAGCATGGGGGTGAGTAGAAAATGAAGGCTAATCATGTTTTGGGTGTACTATTCCTTTAACTTTAGGTCTAGTTTCTAAGAAGTGCTAAAAAATAGGTATCTCCTTCCATCCACATCAGAAATATGCATTTTTTTCTATCATGTAAAATCCAACTAGAAATGAAGGCAATGATTATTGTGATGGGTGACGTAGGTTCTCTACAGTGGAGGTCTTCAACGGGGGTCCGCGACCCCTAGGGGGTCCACAGAGGTACTGCATGGAGGTCACAAAAGTTCCGGTTGATTAGACTTTTTTTTTTTTTCCCCTGCAATTATTTCCAATAATTGAAATGTCTTTAAATACACATTAACATGAAATCAAAACACTGCAGTAAACAGATAAATGGAGGCAGAAGATGTCTTTTAATCATCAATGCACACATTCAGCGACACACAGGAGCTCTTTCAAGCTGGGCACCGTTTCATTCACAACACCTGTCCCATCAATGAGGGATCAGAATCAGAATTAGAAATACTTTAATAATCCCAGGGCGAAATTACTTTCGTTACATGACTCCATCTGTAATAGAGTGACTATAGAACCTGTTGGATATAACGCTATTTCATACAATATATATATAATTAGGGGGTCCCCTCTCCATCTCGCCATTAGTTTGGGGGTCCTTAGACAGGAAAACATTGAAGACCCCTGCTCTACAGGATTGGGGACATGGTTTTCAATAAAAACCCACATAATGTACAGTATATAGGTATGTAGAATGTCCATATGTACATGGAGTCTTACTCACTGAACGCTCCTGTGTAGGTTGGTTGGGTGAGATCTTTTGGCACTTTCCTGTAGATATCAAATCTAGGAGAGAAAAAAAAAAAGGGAACAGAAGAGGGAAAAGGCGAGTGAGGAAAAGAAAATAAAACGTAGCCAAAGAAAACATTGCATGCTGAGAAAATGAACACTTTCTGTACCCATGGTGGTGTTCATATTACAGAGGAGATGTGGAATGTTAGCTCTGGACCGGCGCCATCACACGTAACGGACCCAGAGCACCAGCTGAGACTCAAAAGAAAGGAATGTTCTTCTATTCAGAGGTGGTCTTTTATTATGATCTGTGCTATAAAGAGTCCAACTTGTAAACAAGTGTTTTGTGTTCTTCGTCCTTTCATAAAAATAGAAAATACAAACAGATGTTGGTTGAAATCACTTCCACCTGATCCTCTTATGAAATACTACGGCTCTAATAAAAGAAAAAAGAAAAAAAGAAAAGCAGTAACATAACCCAGAAACTATTCCCATCCAGGAGTTCTTTCACATATCCTTTTTGGGCAGTGAAACGCTTTCAGCCCCCCCGTTCTTTCAGCCACATACTCAACCTCCCACCCTCATCCTCCTTCCTCTTTCTCCTTCCAAAACAGACACATCTGTCCATATTTCTTCCACTGTCAGCAGCCAGAAAATGATCACAACTGATGCAATGCAGGGCGGAGGAGGAAGGAGGAGAGGGAGGGCTTCCTGTCCACCCAGAACAGGACTTTTGCTTTAATTTTTGTCCTCAGTTTCTGCTTTTACTTCTTTTGCTTTGTTTTTTTTTTCTTCCTAAGCCACAACATATGAAATCATCGATCTGACACTTCAGTCTGCTGACCTGCATGACAACAAGCAGCTGAAGATGGCATAGGAGCCAGGAGAACCTGACCTATAAGGACTGTTTATCATCTGTAACCATCTAATATGAGGAAAATTATTATATTAGTTCAGCAAATATGCAATAATCTATTTTGTGAATTTTTACTCATGCGCTTTCATTTTCTGGATAGCACACCTTACTCTTCCCCTTTTGATTGGAAATGATCGGCCAGAGGTTTTAGAACAAAAACAGACCAGTTTCAGACCAGAAACTAAAAGTTCAGCTCCTGCAATCATGGCGTGTTTGCTCTGGTTGACGTGCAAACATTAGAAAGACAAAACAGAAACTGGGAGCTTTGCTTTTGCACAAGAATAAAACAAACGCACCTCTAAAGAAAATTACCTCTTTTTTAAACCTTTGTGTAAAGATTAAGAATATTACTAAATCAAACTGGTTTCAAATCTGTACACATTTGTACACATGATACCCTGATCTTTTTAATGTCAATTAAGAACATTTTTTTTATGAAATGTTAAAGAAATGTTAGTCTGTTAGCCTCAAAAACAATTCCAGTAAGGCACTCATGCTGCAGCAAGTTAAAAAATCAATTTGAAAAAAAGAATATTTGTATTGTAGGCTGTGCATATTATTTTAACAATATGGAAAAGGTGTTTTCATAACAGTTTACGACATTTAAACTGCTTTGGCTGCTGCAAAGACCCGTTTTCTCTGTGTGTCATGTGACCTGCTCTGCAGGCTGTAATCAGACTGATGTCTGTTTGTAAACAGCTAAAACTAGTGGATAACTTGTAGCTCAGCAAAACAACATAGGCAAGTTTTGAAAAAGGGAATAAAAATAAAAAAAATCCTGAAATCTGGAACATTACTTAACTTTTTTTTTAAACTAGTGCAAGAATTATCAGCTCGTAACGGGGAAAAAAAGTAAACTAATTTGCCAATTTTGTTAAAAACAAATTACTACAAGGAAACAAACAGGAGTTTATTAAATTTGGTAGCTATACACATTTTCGTCAAATTAAGCATTTTAAATAAAACTGCAACCTATCAAATTAGTTGTGTTATAGAAACGTATTAAGGGTCTCCTGCTGCAACTTCAGTTAAAACACTTTAGAAAGGAAAACAGGATAAAAAAAAACAAAGACTAATGAAACATTACTTAGTATTGAATCGCGACAAATAACGGGGGACATCCATGGTTAACACAAAGTTAAATGAGTAATACGGTTCTACTTTCTCACAATAATTCACATCTTTACCGAGGTTTCTGGATTTTCCAAACCTCAGAATAACCTCATCTTTTCCGGTTCACTGTTGTTACTGATTACATTATGGGAAATGATGGGCTAACAGCAGTTAGCTTTTCTTTTCTCTTTTTCTTTCAGTTGCTTTTCATTTTTCTCAGAGCCAGGCAGCTGCTTAGATGAGCTTTTAGATATTCATTACTGAGATAATGTTGTAGACTTTTACATTTGCATTACTTTGAATTTAACATTTAAATACAGCTTTGCTAATGTTGAACTTGCCAAAGTATTAAGCAAAGATTAAATTAAAGAGATCATAGTAGCAGATCACGTTGATACATTTTCGGTTTGTGTTTTACATCATTCCTAGCGATGAATCGGTTCAAGATATACCAGATTTTAGTTTATATCTAAATTTTAAACAAAATGTCATTGAAAAAGACCCAAAATGATTCCTTATTAAAAAGATATCAGAGAAAGTTCTGGATTTTCCTAAGCTTCCTACCCTTCCTCCACATGTCGGTCCTTCACTAGTGTTTGTCTTTTAGGACTGTTCCTATCGATTATATTAGTAGCTGATTAATCTATTGATTATTTTTTAATTAAATGAATAATCTATATTCTTTGTGTGTTGATTTTTGTCTGTTTTCTCTTCTTAGTTTTTTTGCTTTGATTATTTTTGTCTAAAACACAAAAACACCGACAAACGTGTATATTGGTGTACATATATGTATATATATATATATATACATATATATATTTGTGTTAAAAAGATGACATTTAAAAAAAGATATCTAAACAGATAAATAGATTTGCATGATAGTAAAAAAACTATTCAGACTATAAAATATTGTATGTTATAAAACATATTTATAGAGTTTTGTCTAAAAATAGAAACAAATAAATTGTTTGAGCACATTGCATACTTTATAGGTGTACGTTTACATTACATAACGTTTCGATTTAATCACCAGATTTAATCACCAGATTATTCCAATGATCGACTTGGATTGGAAACGATTGAAATTATTAATCTGACTAATTGCTTCAGCCCTAATTTCTTGTCCACAGATTAAAGAAGTGGTGGAAGTCACTCTTAAGTCATGCTGTTCTACAACTAGAAAAGCTAAAGACAATTACCAAATGTTTTATATTTTGTATCATTTATTTTTCAAGTTTGTTACATTTTGGGCAACCCTGGAGTTTTTACTTGGTTATCGTAGCGTAACCAACTCCTACAGTCGCATGCTTGAACCTTTATTTCATTAAAATGATCAAACCACATTGGATTTGAGAAATTTCTTTAAAAAAAATGACTGCAAGTGAGGGTAGGAAAATGGTCTGACCCTGAGGACTGGCAGCGTCGCAACAAACCAAACAAACAGATCAAAAGTGCTGAGCTGCTGCTGTAAATGTGAAGGCCGTCTTCTTTTTCAGTAACTGCATCTGCATGCAGACATGGGTATCTTTAGCAGGCAGCTTCCCACAGCTAAATTAAAACCTGAGCAGGGAAACCAAATCTCACTTATCCGGTCACTCGATAGCCGAGTCCTAACACTCCATGCTGGCTGGAAATAGCCTCAAAAAGATGCATGGTGGACGCTTGGCATAGATTTACAAACAAGATACATTTAAAAGGTAACAGCTGGTTATGTGGACTAATATAATGTTATAGCATTACAGAGTCTGAGTGATTTTAGCATGTAGAGAGTATCTGAAATCTAAAATTAGACTGAAATTATGCTTTCTACGTCATGAAATTAAATAATGCAAATAGATTATTTACTGTAAGACCTAAAGAATAGGAAATAAAACAGACAATGAATTACTCATCATTCTACGTCAACAGTTCTGGAGGTACAGCAGCTTTAAAATGCTATATGAAAGATATGCAAACATGAAACATAATTTTATCCCAATGCAGCATTTTGAAATAGATGTGTGTTTTTTTTTTTATTTAAATACTGCCAACATGTTAAACTGTGAAAGGGGGAACTAAGCTGACGTAAAACGAGCAAAAACAGCAGCGGTGAAGGCCAGGAAGCTGCACGTGTTTCACAAGAACAGATATGAGATATGGTTTGGAAAGCATGTTGATATATCTGCTGAATAAAGGACAAATTTAGACTGAAGGCCAAAAGGCAAGCATGAGCACATTAGTAACTGATAACCTTAACCATTAGTTAACACTAAACATCTTTAAATACAGGTGCTGAGGTGTTTTATATATACAGTTTAAAGCGGTATTCAGTCGTCTCTGTTCAGTTCTGGATCTTAATACGGCTGTTTAAACCAGGAATATGTTGGTTACCTTTATCAGTGTTCAGTGAGTTTTAAACCAGTAACAGTTCTGCTTAGACAACAAATTTCCACAACACAGTTTCAATAGTTTGAAGCTTTTTTTAATAAGATGCCAGAGAGCAGGCTGGAGTGAATCCAGCGTTCGCCTTTTGTTTGAGGCATGCAATAACACAGGCTTTCCCCTCCCCATCCTACTGTTTACACTACTATCAAGTCAGCAACACCCCCACAAAAAAACAAAGAAAAGTATCAAAAGCGTAACCATGTTCTGCTTTATATCATACCTGAAATGGAAAAATTTGCTTTTCTAAAGCAATTAAATAATATTGAATGTTTTTTCTTTCTGATTTATGATAATACTCGAGGTTGTCAAACTGTAAGAAATTCTCAATGACCCATGCTGGTCCTTTGGGTGTGTTTTATTTAGCTGACTAGCCTTCAGTGGAAATGCATTACGCCCCAAGGTAACATGGATCCACATTAAAGTTTGACTAGATCAGCATCAGATAAAAGCCAATGAACCGAACAGAGAACATATAGGGCTGCAACTAGCAATTATTTTACAAATCGATTAATATGTCGATTTTTTTTGTCAATTAATTGATTAAATATCGGGTTCTTTAAACATAACTTTTTACAAAACTAAACCAGGTGAAACTAAAACT